CACACACACAGGTTGAACCTGTAAGTAGGACCTCTTCTTTTTCTACATTGGTTCTACAAATACAGCTCTTGGTTAAAACAACTTAGTATCATTAACTAGAAAATGAGAGGTAGTTGGTGTCATTTTTTATTCTTGGTTTGTTTTTTTTCTATTTTAGTTATAGCCTCAGAATTTATGAAGCTCTTTCTATAAGTACAGTGTTGTATAAACATTATTTTTAAATACACACCTAACTGTTGGGCCATATAATTACAAAGCGAGGAACGGGATTTCTGACAGTACACTCCTGACACTTTGAAATATAACCCTGGACATTGAATGAGAACCACACCTCAAATACCTCTGGGAAAAAACACTTCAGATTACTTCCATTACTAATATTGGAATAATATTACTGTCTCCCAGATCACAACAAACTACTCTAGAATTTCTGTTAAGGATGAGGATGAATGTGTTTCCAGACACATTTCAAGGCACAGCCTGCACTGTTGATGTTCTGGTTGTCAGCTTCAAAACTATCGTAAATTTAATATGCTGATGGTACTAGAAACTGCAAACTTGAAGGCGTTTGCTAAAACAGAAATAAGTCTTCATGGGAACAATTAAAGATTTTTATGCTTAAATGCTACATTAATATGTGACAGTGCATCCTGTTACTAGAGCTGTATGCTGTGAATGGCCAAATTGCATTCCTTAGTGCTTGCTTAGAAACTTCACGTGGCTTTTTGGGTTTGTTGTCCTGTTTTGTTTTTTTGTTTAAAAACCAAAAAAAAAACCAGTTTCAGTGCTGTATTTGCTTTTTCATTTGTGGATTTAAAGCATTGCCTTGTATTCATATTTCAGTGCTGTGAACAGTTGCTTTTGAAAGCTTTTTGGTGTAAATTACTACACTATCATATTTTGAAGTATATAGGATTTCAAATTTTAAAAATACCCAAACATATAATGATATATATGTATGCCTGAGCTCTACTGGGAGCAAAACTGGCAGTGCTGATCCCGTGTCCTCTCTTCACTTCCTTAGGAGGATTAAAAGGCAGATGGAATTTTGTGATCAGATGCTGTTGCAGCACCTTGAGTGTGTAGAATCCAGTTGTGCTCGCTAACATAAAGTTCCATTTGTTTTCCCTGTGTTAACTTGTCATGCAGTGCTAGTGTAAGTGTTTTGGGTGGGGGAAAAGTATCACAAGCTAATTATGAATTAAACCCCTCAATATCTGTACTAACTGCTTGGTGTTTTGCTGAGCAAAAACCAGGGAACTTTGCCACTGCTCAATAAAATAAAATTAAAAAGAAAACCCAGCATCACCACCACCCCAAACTTATATACAGAGAAAGATGAGAGTGTAATTTTTTTTTTCTTCAGTAAATACAAGAAGTTGTTAACACTTGTTAACACTTACAGGAAGTTGTTAACACTTCTGATTTAAAAATTAGCAAAATCAGATAGACCTTGTTTGCTAAATGTTTCTTTTGAGCTATTTGGCATATACTCAAAAGCTAATTTGATGAATTGCCAGCACTATTTTGTTCTGGAAGACATATCTGACCAAGGCTTAGAATGCTGTGAAACACAAAGGAGGAAGGCTGTTTTCAAGCTGCTGTAAAATCTTCTTCTTTTTTTTTTCTGCTTATTTGTTTATTTTAATAATAATTTCAGTCAATGCAGTACATCTAGTTAGTAGACACAAATAAGATGGTCTGTTATTAGTTAAATGTTTGTAGTTGGAAGTTACAGATTTTTCTTGCCTCATTTTCCAAGGAAATAGATGATTTGGACCTTATTTTTCTTGTTCAGACTTTCAAACAGATTAATGATTATGAGCTAGTTTCTAAAACGTTTTTGCGGATGTTTGTTTAATACTCAAGCTTCAGCAAACTTGATCGAGTACTAATTTTTAAGATCTGAACTTGGGAAATGGGGACCTGAAGTAACTAAATATAACTGTAACCACGGATGGGATTGTTCCTGTGCATTTAACTTTGCATTGGAATAACTCATATTATGGGTCCCAAAATCCACTGCAACTGCCTAAGACAACAGGGTGACAAATCTGGTTTACATATATCTTTCCCCATTCTCACAATTTGGCTAAGTAATGCTTGGAGCCATAGTATTTATTTTGAAAGTCCATGAACAGAAAAGTCCTTTCCAGTTAAGCATGAAATGGAAGAAAAAATGTCAGGGAATTGTTTTTCTCGAGAATTCTATTGGAGAATAAAAGATGGTTCAGTGATGTGTTGGATACAATGGATATTTTGAAGCAAATGTGAGGGATTGATTTTTGTTTCTTTGTTTTCAATAGAGAACAAACACTCATTAATTTCAGTTCAGTATAGCTCTTGTTGAGGCTTTTTCCTGGCAGTCAGGAAAAACCTGAATTAATAGTAGGAACTGTAGTAATGGCTTCTATAAAAGTATGATATTGATTGTAGTATTCTTAACACCTTATGTAGTTTATTGATCACTTACTATTATCTTTTCCCTGCTGTTCACATTCCCACACTTTCAATCCCTTCACTAGCATTTATGAGTGATTATTACCAAGTATCTCAGTCCTACATAAATAATGTATATAATAATAACATATATAAATAATACTTAGATAAAATGGCTTAAGCTGAATTCTCAACAGTTGATCAATTTTCTTGCTGCCAGCTTACACATCTTAAGTTAAAAAAGGTCCTGTTTAATATCTGTGAAGACAACTACTTATTGATTATAATATGTCACCAGACTGGCATGAAAGAGATCCTTCTGTAAGTATGGAAATTTACTGCAGATACACTAGTAGGAACATTTTGTCATTTGTCATTCAATAGGAACTTTAGGACATTTTGAACAGTATATCATGTGGGCATTTACCTTTCAGGCCATGGCTTGGGTGTATGCTGGAATTCAGCACATCTAACTAAAAATTTTGGGTAGCACCTAGAAACAGGCAGTGAAGCCATGGCAGAGCAGAAAGTACAGATGTTCAGGTCTGGAGGAGTTTGCCAATAGGCACAAGTGCTGCTTTCGGTTCCAAATAAGTGCAATAATTGTCTGTGTGAACAGAAGACTTCTTAGCTGCTCTTCACTCATGAAAGACAATGATACAGATTGTAGTTTACTGGAATATTTGTAGAACAACTGACAGAAATAAGGTCAAACACAGCGAGTGGATATGTTCAAGTGTTGAAATCACTTTCATGTTTTGTACTTTGCAAGTTAGCTTGAATAGAAAGTTTATTAGAAAATAACTTACTTAATCTTTGAAAAGTCCTTACTTACAGCCTGTGAGCAATCTTGCAGTTGATGGAGGAAATGAGCTCCTAATTGAATCATGGCAAAACAAAGCATTTTTCCCCCTGCTGTTATTTCATTTAACTCCTTGCTGGTAATGCATCACATCTCTTCATGTGGCAGACGGGCATGTCAGTGTCTTGCTTTGTGAGGTGAAGTAAAACTGGCATTTGCTTCTCATCTTTACAGTGTAGAAAGTGGGGGTGACAGCACTTGGAAGTAGTTTTTGCAAATATTGTCAAGCAGCAGAAGCACACATTTGCACACATTTGCAGATAACACATTGAAGTTGGTGTTAACTCATGCACAGCTTCTTGAATGCTGGATACTAGCAACAGGGAGAATTTAGTCCTTGTGGGTTTCTAAAACATTCTTTGACAGGTGCTTCTGTAGTTTGTGTAGATGTAGTTTTAAGTGTTGCTTCAAGTAAAAATTACTTTTTTATTCTCAAAAGACGTTCTGTGAGTGACATAGAAACAAAATTTAAGTATTGCAATTTAAGACCTTTCTACTTGGAGTGGAATGTGCACACAGCTGTTGCATTCATTTCTACATACCTGTTTAATACTTGGATATAGTTGTAGCAACTAGTTGTATTTTGTGTGCTGGAATTCAAGGCCTGGCTGTTGCTCTCCAGTCTGTTTTTCATACACAGCGTTCACAGAAAATACACTATGTGTATGAGTACATCATTCTCTCCAGCTGATGTTTGATGTTGGCTTCTGTTGAAGCTAGATCATCCTAGAGTTCATATAGTTCTGCTCAGGGCTAGGAGGTATAAATGTCCTGGGAATACTTGATTTTTATTTAGGGCTAACTGATCCACTCATTTAGCTTCTTAGGCATTGACCATTACTTATACAATAACAGGATAGATGATGGAAGTGCAAGTGTGCTTCCATATTCTGCTTCCCCTCCATTTGTGTCTCGGGAAAGGGACTGGCAACCTGTAGCCCTATAAAAATTGATTTTGAGACTTTTTTTCTTTTTTTATAATACTAAAAATGAGAGAAAATAAGACAGGTCAGTCTCTTTGTGGTCTATGCTCTTTTCCATCCAAATTTGCAAAATTATTTGAAGAAAATAGAGTTGTGCCCCAGTGTCTATTTGAAATATGATTTAAAATGCAAACCAAAAACTAGTGACAAAGAAACTGGCTGATACAATGTTTACTCTTCAGACTTGTACATGCTTCAAGGAGTCTTGAGTAAAGCTAGCCAAATATCTGCATGCCTTCTTCCAGGTCTGAAATTTTAATCTACTTGTCCAAAAGGATGGCATTTAGAAAATCAGAAATATGTGTGTTTGAAGCTTTCAGGAGACCAAACTTGTGGACTTGATATCAAGGAGATAGTTGTGGATATATGGAAATGAAAGTAGACAAGAGTTCAACAGCTGACATTCTTTTTCTGTGCCTGTTTGAATTGACTACATAGTAGTAATGGAGTAATTGAGAATTATACTGGTAACACTTTAACATCTGCTACTTCATGTGTATAAATAGATGTGTTATTCACCAGGAGTGCATCTTCCTGCGTGAATATCTGTCTTGGAAAAGCAATCCTGTTCTTTGTTTTGCTCTGGCTGTGAATGCCTTGGATGTGTTTAACTCACCAGGTATCTGAAGCAAAGCCTTTTTTAAGGCAGGTGTCAGAGCAAGTAGAGAAGAGTTAAAGAGGATATAGCAAGGGACAAGTTTTGCTCTATGGGACCTATGTGTCACTGCCATTGCTGTTTTTCCAGTGAACCTGTTTTGCCACTGCTCTGCTACATGATATTGAAATCCTGAAATCATCAGATGTGGTTCTCCCATTACTGACAGCATGGAAACATTGAACCAGTCTGCAGAAGCTATCAGAGAGATTGTAAAGTAATAATTTCTGAATGCTGAATTCCTTCTTATCTATAATGCTTGTGAACTTTTGCTGTCTTACTACAGCAATCGTCATTAATGTTTGTCTTGTCAATTTGTGTATTTTGCTACTCTCTCTGTTATTAACATTTTTGTATGTTTTAATTCAGACTTGTGCATATGTCCACACTTAAAATACTAGAACTATATAGTTAAATAAATTTGAGTTTGACTGAAAGGTCTTTTCCCTTTTTTCCTTTTTCACCTTTTGAGGGAAAGGTGAGGTTAAAAGCTGACTGTTCTAAACATTTGAAACAAGTGTTCTGTTTTCTAGGACATCTAACATTTTATTTTAAATAACTCCACCATCTAATTTAGGTGTAATGTTTGCTTTGTGTGTGTGTGAAAACTTGCTGAAATTGAAAGTTGCTGAAAGCTGTAAATTGCAACCGAATTTGCATTTCTGTGATATGTTTTGCAACACCATCACTTAATGAAAGCAAAAAAACAAACTTCTTTTTTCTTGTATGTAAATTGAATGGAATTACAAGTTGAACAAGCAGCCTTAAAGCAGAGGAATAAATAACATTTTGCAAGTATTTCTTTTTAGTAATTTCCAAGTTGTCTTACACCTTTGCATATGTGTGGGATTTGCCTGACAGTAGCCTTCAGTCTGTATAAACATTGAAAAATAATAAAAGTGATTTTTAAAATTACATGTCATTATTTTAGGATAAAAGATCTTGCAGATGCTCTAGAAGAAGGAGGTTGTGATCTTGAAACTGTGAGAAACATCATTCAAGGAAGGCAATTGCCTGCTGATCTGAGGGCCAAAGTCTGGAAGGTAAATATGAGCTTAAATCAGGAAGCAGGAAATACTTGAGGCTGTGTTTCATTGGAGGTAAAAGATTTAATTGCTAGGCATCTTTACAGAAGAGATGTAGTACTGTAATTTTAATATGCATCTATGTTGATTCAGTTTAAGAATAGGGTGGGTTTTTTTGTTTTTTGTTTGTTTTTTGTTTGGGGTTTTTTTTTTCCAAATTACAGAGTTCAGTAATTGAGCAACTGCAAAAAGACACTAAAATATTTAGAGGGCTTTCTATTTTTGTTTTCAGATTGCGCTTAATGTTGTAGGAAAGGGGGACAGCCTAGCATCCTGGGATGGCTCCTTAGACCTACCTGAGCAGAGTATAATTCATAAAGATTGCCAAGAACTAATTGGTAAGTTCTGTTACATTTAGATCATCAGTTTAAAAACTTCTGTATTCTCTGTTGTCTTAAGACTTTATTTCAATTAAATTATCTAAATGAAGTTTACATTTTGGAGGAAGCTTTGAGGAGGAAGATGAAAGAGCAGATAAAAATCAGTAAGAAACTGTAAGAAAACAATAGTATCTTACCTGTACACAGACTCTGCTGGGGCTGACATCATGGGAGTTTAAAGTACTACCTTGTAAATGATAGTTTGCATAGTCAGAAAGCTTTGTGAGATGGAAAAATGGTAGTTGTTTTCCAGGCTCCATCTTTTAAAGCAGACATTCTTTGTATAGTGTCCTTCAGCTTTTTAATTGTGGAAGGCCTGGTTCTTAATCTGGAAACCTGCTGTAGAAGAAAAATGCATGTAACATTTGAGAGAAGAAATCAATTAAACATTTTGGACTTAAAAACTATTTTAAAGAAAGATACTTTTTAACAGAATTTTCAGCAAAAATGAAGGAGCAAAAATGTGTTTGTGCAAGCAGGGTGCTTCCAGGACAAAGGAAATAATACTCTGGCGTGTTTGCAAGGAGGTGCCACAGGATCTGCTTGGCAGCTCATCACAGAACTGGTCAAATCCCTGCCATGATGCAACAGCATTGATATCAGTGATCACTTGATAGAATCAATGCTGACTCATAAATCAGGATACATCTCATGAGTTCAATAAGATAATTTCCTGTTTTATTACCTATCTCTTTATTTATTTTTGTGCAATTGAAAGTTAAGGCAGAGGATGGAATTGGTGCATGCATAAATACCTTCCATTTCTGAAATGTAGTTCTACAGTTTCTAGCCCTAAAATCTAGTAGGACTTATTTTCCTTTTCTCTGTCCTGTAAAGGAAAGAGATTTGAGTGGAATTTTCACTCTCTGATTTAATCACAGTGTCTCTTCAGGAAGATGCAAAGTGTCCTGATTATATTCATAACATATAAAATTAAGCACTTCAGTGTCTGATAGTTCTCCTTTTGTATTTATTGGCAAATATTTCATGGTATGTAAGGACTTAAACTGATAAAGGGAACAAATGTAAAGTTACTTCAGAAAGACAGTTATATGGAGACTTCAGTTTTTTGTTGGATTAAATGTCTCTACTTCAATGTTTTAGCACAGCAAGTAATCTCCAAATTTAAAGTATATCCTCAGTTGGTATGTGAGTTTTATGTACTGTTTCATTTTTCTGAGAGGCAGAGAAAAGGAATGCCAAATACTGACTGGCTTTGATGGGAAAGTATTAAAGACTTTCGTAATAAATGTGTAATAAAAAAATGTGAATTATAAGTTAATGCTAAAATTTATGTCTGTAAGCCTAGCTGATCTCAAACTTCTAATATGGATAAATTCGTATGTCAGTCAACTTTTGAGGAATTGAAGATCTGCACTGTGGGTTGATTTGTGTTGAAATTCAAATGAATTTGTTGTAGACTTGAGCCTAGGTTGCGTGCTAAGCACATCAAATAGAAGAGGAATATTCTGTGCATTGAAAGAATTTACTTTCATTCATACAGATCTTGGAAACCCCAAACTTCTTTCATCCTGTTGTTGTGGTATTTAAATTATATTTAAATGTCTTTTCCTAATAGGTTTATAAAAATCACTTGTATTTTGATGCCTTTTTTAATGCCTTTCTGTAAGAATTTAATCCAAATAGCCAGTTTTTTGTTTGTCTGGTTTTGTTGGGGTTTTTTTTTTCCCTGATCAGTCCCTATTGGTGCAATTCTGCTATGACATAATCTCATCCAATTTCATTGAAAAGCCTTTAACACAGTTTATATTTCTGTGCCTATTTCAGACCAGTTGTCAGTGCCAGAAGAAGAGAAGTCAGTATTAATTTTGGATATTGATTGAGTCTGTTATTACATTTTATTGTAAATCACGCAATGTTAAATACAGTTCTTGCCTCGGCTGGATACATCTGCTCAAACCTCTGGTGCACCTTCATTTGCCCCGCAGTGATTTGTACAACTGCTTCTATGCTATCATGAATAAATTCATTCCAAGGTAAAACTCTTTCTTTTCCATATGTACTATTTTTATTGGCAGTAGCAGTATTCTCTGAAAGATGTCCATGTTGGTTTTGGCTAGAGTAGCACTGTTTGTAGCCATATTGTCAGATTCTTTCATATGATCATAAATTTCAGTACCTGTTGGTTTGAAATCCAGGAGATGATTGGGTTGCTTTAAGATCCAAAGAGTTAACATGGGACTCAATATGCCTTTTAAAGAACTGTTCTTCCATGCAATATCAAAACATTTGTTTATGAACTAATTCACATAGCTTATGTGAAAGTGTTTTTTTGTTCCCTTTCCTAGCATTTTTTGTATCTAAAATACTTCTATCCCTTTAGAAACAGCAATTCATAAGCACTAATTAAGTCTCAGAATTTCTCTAGAAGTATTTGATATTTTGTCCCCATGTTCTTTTGAGTTGGGACTGAAATCACTTTTTTCTAAGTTGCTGGATATTTTTAATATCAAATACTACTTTTGAGCTTTTCATGCTGTTATGTAGGTGCTCTCACTAAAATAAGTTTTTTATGTATGTTGGACCACTGTGACACTTCAGCAAGGCTGAACAGTCTGTAATTCAAGATCTTAGTCTGATTGCCTGGAGAGGGGATTCCAGCCTGGCTGATGGATAGGTGCTCAAAATATGAAAAACACATTTGCTGTAGTGGCAGGAAGTATTTATCAGTCCCATCACTTGACTCAGCTCGTGTCCCTTTCTGCTCTGAGACACTCCTGGGCTCTGTGAGCTATTTGGGGATAGTGGCATTATGGTCACATAACTCTTTCAGAAGGATTCAGAAGGCTTGCAGAGTATTTGAGCTTCTCTGTAGGAATCTAGGTGGTGTTTCAATGAGATGTAGACTGTTTCCTGGGTTTTTTTTTTCTCTTCAGTGGGAGAATGAAAGCCATAGAAAGGCAATTTATAGTAGATCAGTGAATCTCTATTGTTACCGTGCTTGCCTTGTTTTGAGATTTAAATCTGTTTTAAATACTTCTGTATTACATAATCTGTCAATATTGTCAGTATTTCATTCTACTGCCTTGTTAATTTAGTGGGGGTTTCAATGTTTGTGGGATTTTTGTTGGTTTGATTTGATTAGTTGTTTTTTGACTCTTGAGGCAAGTTGACTTCATGATCAGTCCCTGTGAATTAAAAGAGCAATGTACAGGAAATTACATAATCACAGATAGTAAAGAATTGCTACTGTAAGTCTGAAAACTGCAATATTACAGGGGAGTTTATTATTTTCATTGCTACTTTTTAGGGATTGTTTTATGAAGGGAAGACCCTTTCATCTATTTAGGCTGTTGCTTCAGTACCATGAGCCTGAACTCTGCTCCTTTCTTGACACCAAGAAGATGACTCCAGATTCATATGCACTCAACTGGGTAATAAAGTGAAAGTAGGGAAACATAATGAAAAATAAATTTCTGTTAAAATTTAAGGGGTTTTTATGTTGTCGGTTTATGGAAGACTAGTACAAGCAATTAGGACTGCATATATTAAAATAAATTGCATGTTTTAATGTTGTGTGGGCTTTTTGTTGTTAGTGTTTAGCATGAGGTATGAGGTCTTGTTAATGTCATGTTTTTATTGTAGTGGGTAAGTCCTTATTGAGCCACTGATGTTAGGAACTTCTTGGACTAAGGAGGAATGATAGCAGCTGACGTACTCTAAAAGCAAGAAGCCCTGATGTTAGTTTTGATTGTGGGCAGCTGTATGTTATAGATATGTGTAAACATCAATCTAACATGTCTTTTAAAGCTAAAGTATGAATTATTTTAAAATCTCACTGCTAAGAGATATAAGCACATGTTTTAGAGTTTAGGCACATCAATTTTACAACTTTTAAAGCATTAGTCATTTCCTCTTCAAAACTGCCTCAAACTGTGAGTAGTTACAAAAATGCTTACCTCAATAATTTTTTATAAAGTTTGTGGAGCAGGACTACAACAACATTTTTGTTTCAATGTTTTGTTTGTATATGCAATACAAAATCACAATACTGTGCTTGCACAGGCAAAGTCTGTAATTTAATAGAGAAGGCTTTGACCCATGAACTCTTCTAGGTTCTTCTTTCATACTCATTGGCTGTGTAAAACTTTTTTCAACTTTGTGTATTTTCATTTAAAGAAGACTGAAATGAATTATAAAACTGTGAGGTCTGTATTTGGGGGTGGTTTTTCTTGAGTTTTTTTTCGGGCTGCTGCCAATTTTAATGTAAAAATGTGTCTAGGAAAAATTTTCATATTCTCAAAATCTGCCTTTTGTCAGTCTCACGAGCCTTCAGAAGAGAAATCAGGCCTTTTTTTCCCACTCAATTTCCATTTTTTAATAGAATTTTCCTCAGTAAGTACAAAATTCTTTGAAGTTGTTTATTAGAATTTTGGAATCTAATGAGAAAAAGAATCTTCTCTCTGAAAGGTGGTGGTGAAGCAAGCTGGTGTAGCTTTCAGTCCTCAACACCATGCTTCCTGGTGTACAATTTTAGGAAAAAATCTTAAATTTCATTTTATACAATGAGATTACAGTAAAATTCTCTGTTTCATCTGTGAAAAATCTCAGTCTATATAAGTGTATCACTAATACTTAGAAATATTTAAGCAATGTACATAGGCCTGCCATTGTCATCTTCTTCATGGACTTTTTGTCTTCAGTTGCATTTGAGTCAGAATTGAATAAATCTTTTGATCTTTTGCTATGAAATTGCACCAGGAAGTGTTGAAATATTCCATGATAGTGTTTTAAATCAGATACCAAGCTTTTGAAGCTATAGCTGTGTTAATACAGTATTTGTGTGCATCACCAAGTTGAGTAAGAGCCCAGTGAAGTCAGGTGTCATACATTTCAGTTAGGTGAGATTTTAAATGTTACCTGGCATGTATGGTAAGAAGTTCCTACCTTTTATCTGTTTTGAACTTCGTATATCAGAGAGGATGTATTTTCAAGTGGGAGCATGGAAACAGGCAAAGGGTTTCTTAAATGGTAATGAAAATTTTCTGATGCTTGCAAATATTTAATTACTCAGTCATAAAGCATCATAATGTAATGCTAAGTAAGTGATGTTGTCAAACTAATGTGCAACCATGTTCAATTAGCCCAATTCTACTGTGGAAAATAAAAATAATTATGTTTGCAGGATCCTTTCGAAGCTTTAATTGCTATGCTATTTGAGTAAATATATTCTCTTATGATTGTCTTGTTGGTAATTGGTATTTAGCACTGTCTGTGAGCTAAACAGTACTCCAGCTTGATTGTGTTATCTGCGGTTGAATTTGCAAGGCTGGCAGTGTACAGCCAACTTTGCCTTCACACTAGTCATATTTATTCACAGATAATCTGTAGCATTGTGCACTGTTTCCATAAAAATATTTTAGAGGTTGGAACCATCCTTCAGTATGCTGTGCAGATGTAGGCTTTATCATAATTTTGTTGGGTTTATTTTCCTTTGGATATTGTATATCTCTGTTAAAAATGTTTCCCTGATAAGATTGTTCCTGGTAATTGCATTTTCTCACATTATTTTCCAAATTTTTAGCTTGGAAGCCTCTTCTCATACTACTGTTCAGCTGAAGTCACTCAGGCAATATGGGATGGATATCTACAACAAGCAGATCCATTCTTTATTTATTTCTTAATGTTGATCATCCTTGTCAATGCAAAGTAAGTGTGTAGTTAATTCTTCGGGACATTCTTTGCTGACACTGTTTTAATCCAGGTTTGTTTCATTTTGGTTTTACTGACTTAATCTATGCCTGTGACTTTACTGTTTTCAGAGACGTTATCTTAGCACAAGAATCAGATAAAGAAGAAATGATAAGTAAGTACTTCTCTTACATAGCTGCTAGTGAAATATTTATTATATATTCTAATTCCCATTTATTACTATTTTTTGTTGCTAAAGAGCTAGATTGTTTATTTCCATGTGATTTTTCTCATTAACAAATCTCTTCACCCATTAATTCCTTTCTTACTGTTCTTTTGCTGCCCTGTCCTTGATCTTCTTTCCTCATTCCTTTTAATATTCACACACCTAGTTTTATACTTCAGTTTGAAGTACTGGAAACAATCACCAGAAACTGGTCTTTCTAAGCCCAAAGCAACAGCTGTCAAATTCTTCTTTAAATCTACTGCATTTGTTGCATTTTCTGGACTGTCTTCATGCACACTTAATTGGAGCTTAATTCATTGTTTTTATAGAAAATGCATTAAATTTCAGTGGAAAATGTAAATAGCTCTTGTCTTTGTATTTTTTTTACAAACATAATGCAATGTAATTAATAATCTCTAGTAGTTCAAAATGAGAGTGCTTGGAATTTTGTGTCATTGCCATATGGTGCAGAATTACACCCTTGGGTTTTCCTGGACAGAGAACAGTGCTACTGATTAAGTACTCATTTTAAAGGATTCTAGAGATCAAGCTCTTTAGAAAAGTAGCTAAATTAGAATTAGAACTGAAAGCTAAAACTATGCAGAGGTAAGAATGTGGTAAAAAATAATTTGCATAGAAGGTTCAAACATCTAGAAAAAAAACATAGGTTTTCTATGAATAAGGAGTATTTCCTGTATCTCAACTTTTTATCTGGAGAGTGGATCAATATTCATGTTTAATCAATACACTAGATTGTTATGCCTTATTAAAATAAGTTCTTTTATGATCTGTGGTGCTTGATTTCTGTGTCTGAGTAGTGTTGCATTTATGTTGTTTATTTGTCTCAGAATCCTTAGAAACATCACCAGCCAATCTCGATTTAGAGGATATAGAAGATCTCTTCTCTTTGGCACAATATTACTGTAGCAAAACTCCAGCTTCTTTCAGGAAGGTAATGAAAGTAATTTTGAAATTCTCTTTTTTTTGGCAAGTGTTTAAGCTCCTACTGACAACAACTTGGAATATTTCATTGTGATTTTCTTTTTCTTTTTTTTAAGCGATTTTTTCATGTTGTTACTCAGACGGTATTTACTGTTAGGACCTTTGAAAGATAAGGTTAAGTGGAATATGTCAAGAGAGAATCTTCCTTGCAATATTCTCACTTCATGGCTGATAACCTCATTTTCCAGAGTTCTTGTAAGAACTGATGAATATTGACACGAATATGTCTGTGTATATTGACACAATTGCATTGTAGTACACTGCACAGCAGTGCTAGCTGTATTTGTAATAACAAAGAGGAAAAAGTCTCTATAGATAAATCTATTATCACCTGCACTTTTTGCAGCTCTTCCTTACTCATGATATCTGACTTAGTTAATGGATGAAATAAAAGTATTTGATAGCCAGTGCCCTTGGCTTGTATGTACTTTGGCTGACGTGTGTAGACAGGTATGGGAGGTTTTTTGTGGGGGGAAAAAACAAAGCAAACAACTAAAAAACAAATACCAGAGACACTGCATCATGTTGGTGTGGTCAAAGTGGTGAACAAACATGTTTGTAATGGAAGTGCAGACCTTGCCATGATACTCAGAAAGAATCTCTGATCAAAAGTTTTATTTCTGTGTGGACAGGATACACACGTGTGGAACTTCATATTTGCAGCTTAGTGGATATGGTTTTATTTTAAACTTTCACATAAAGACAATGGCTTCAGTTAATCTTTATTTTTCTTGCCTTATTAGGACAACCACAGTCTTTTTGGCAGCAGTTTGCTGGGCCTCAAAGATGATGACACAGACTTGAGCCAGGCTCTCTGTCTAGCAGTTTCTGTGTCCGAGATTCTGCAAGCAAACCAGCAACAAGGAGTCAGTATACTGAATTTACCTTCCCCTCACTATTTTACAGAAAAGACTCAATCACCAACCATTAGTTTTAAGTGCTAACAACACAAATGAGTATTTGCTATTTCAGGAAAAATATTTTGGTCTTGAAGTTTACTCCCTTGTAAATGATCTGCTGTCTTCAATGCATTTGAGCTGTAGGAAGGAGCATAGGGAGCTTAAGACAGCTGATTTGAATTTGAGGAGTGTGAGCTCAAAGTACTATCTCACTAATTTGAATTCCTTTCCAAATGTAGCTACTGTAGAGGAAAATTTAAAATTCTCTACTCAGTACCTTTGAGAAGAATGCTGTTAAGGAATATCTGTCTTTTGTCAATGAAGGGTTTAAATGAAAAGAAGAAAATTGATTAAAGTTGTTTCAGTAGAAGTTAATTTGAGACATAGATTCAAGGACTTCACTAGAAATATGTAAGACCCATATATGGATCATAATGTAGTTAGATTACAGTGTTTCTTATTGACTACTGAAGTTCTGTCATTAATAGTTTGGGGTTTTTCCCTGTCCAAATAAAGTTAAGCATCTGTTTATATCCTATCCAAGTTGGTGGGATATAAACCCATCCTTATATGCTGTGCTGATTAATAGTGGACTCTTGGATTGTCTCATACCCCCTATTTTTCCTCTCAGTAGAAGTTATAGAATTGCACATGGATGATCCTTTCCCATGCACAAGCTAAATTAATGGAAAGCTGATACTAAAATACTACTGTTAGTCTGGAAACAGAATAGACAAAGTTCAGATTAACCAAGTGGTGAAGAAAGTTAGTTTTGAATAGCTCTTAGCCCCTCTGAGCAGTTCCTGTAGTACTGGCATTAGTATTGGAATGTAATTGAATTCTGTCAATAATTATGCAATTTTAAAATTTAAAAATTTCTCTTTCAGGAAGGAGTGAGATTCTTTGTAGTGGATTGTCGTCCTGCAGAGCAATACAATGCTGGGCATTTATCGACAGCATTTCATTTAGACTCAGATTTGGTTTGTATGCTTTTTGTTTCTTTACTGGTATTTGAATCCTAACTGACATAGAAGGGGAGAGAAATGCCTGCCTTGAAAGATAAAGTAACCTTAACTTAGGCTCTGGTATGTGGACTAGATGCAGCATCTAGCTATGTGATGAAAAGTTTTCAAAAATTAGCTTATCTAAAGGAGATGATAAAACCATTATTTGATTGAGAAGTTTAGCCCTTAATGACATTAGAATGTGCGATTCCAGACTTCCTGTTCTTTGATTAGAAATGGAAACCCATACAGACTAAAGACTATACATTGCTTGGAGGAGAAATCTCTTTTTAGCACCCTATTTTCCAGTGAAAGGTGTAATTAATTTTTTAAAAGAGCATTTTTTTTCTTTGTCTCTTTTTTTGCCTCAGCCAGTCTTATTACAGTCTGTTTTTACAGGGCATATATCTTGAAAAGAATTTGGTTGCTTCTTTAAAACTTCTGCTGTACAATATGCAAGTGCATTATTTTTGGCACTGAGATGTGCTGTGGATGAATAACTTCAATAAAGATTTTGTACTTCCTGTTTGATTATGAATTCCTAATTGAACGTTCAGTCGTAATTTTTCTCTGTCCTTTTTTCCCCCCAAAATTACTCCCATTTCAGCGGTGTATTCATAATTTCTAGATTAGCACTCAACTATTTTACTTTGAGCAGTCTGTGGAAGCTGTATGGAATGATTTATTTGGATATACAACATAAAAGACTATTATACCTTGGTTAAGTTCAATCCTGCATCTAATATCTTTACCTCTCTAATAAAAATGATGCATTATGCAGTATTATATGCACATATGTAAATATAATATTAAATATAATTACAGAGGAGAGAAAAGGAGGCTGAAGGGTGACTTTAGTGCTTTCTATAACTATCTGAAGGAGGCTATAGCAAGATGGGTGTCAGTCTCTTCTCCCAAGTAAAAAGCAGTAGAACAGGAGGAATAAGTGGCTTCATGTTGCATCAGAGGAAGTTTAGATTGGATGTTAGGAAAAATTTCTTCCCTGAAAGGGTTGTCAAGCATTGGAACAGGCTGCCCAGGGAAGGGGTTGAGTCACCATCCCTGGAGCTATTTATTACTTGTAGATGTGGCACTTGGGGACGTGGCTTAGCAGTGGAGAGTTGGCAGGGTGAGGTTCATGGTTGGACTCGATAACAAGGGTCTTTTCCAACCTAAATGATTCTTTGATATTGTGTGGTTTTTAACCTAGATTGAAAATCATTTAGGAAAAACTTGCCCTGTCCTATGTGGGTATTCTGCTAGCCTTAATTGAATGTCATATTCAGTGAAGTAGAAATAAGCATTTTAAATTATTAAGTAGCACAAATAACTGATAGTATATGAAAAAGGAGTCCATGGAAACAAGTCTTAAATTAGATGTGATCAGTTCATATGTATTCAATTTGTATATTGGAATTAATGGTCCTTCATGAACCATGGTGGATGCATGTCACCAAGTACATCCTTGTTTTTAGAAGTTCAGTGCTAGGAAAATATTATAGGGAAAAATCTTTGTGATGAAAAGTCATTAATGGAATTTCAGTGCATTTCATATTCTTGTATGTGTCAAAGTACACAAAAGTTATTGTAAGGAGAGACAATGGGGAAAGAAAGCACTTTGGAATCCATCTCATTTATAGTTAGAAGAAGTAGTGAGATTTAGGACCTGTGTAATAAAGCAACAGCCTTTATCTCTAGGAAAACCCCAGTTAAAATTCAGCTTTACTTATTGGTGGTTAGGTTGTGTACTTGTGACTTTGTCCTTCATCATTTAATCCACTGTACAGACAAGATAATGGGAGCCCCTTCTGGCCCCTCCCTGCCTCCCTCAATCCAGTTACATGTCAAAATTCCCTTATGATATAAGGGAATACTTATTTATAAGTACCTTCCATACAAACACAGGTTAAAATTTTAGCTATATTGAGAAAGTCCTTGTTTCTCCATCTCTTTCATATAGAACTTTTGTTTTTGCATGCAGAGCAGGCCTTCATGTATCCCAGCCTTTACTTTTTTAGAGTACAAAGAATCACAGATACCTCCTTGTGCTCTCAATTGTAATTTCTGTTTGCAAATCTTGATAAGCAAATGAGAAAAAGCTTAGTAGGGAGACAACAAGAGAAAGACTTTACTAGCATCTAGAAATTCTAGGTAATTGAAAAGGTTATGAATCTCCAGACTTTGAATGTGTTGTGCCCAAGCATGTGTGAATATGGAAACAAGTCCCGCTGCTGTATTACCAAATTAATGCAACATGAAGGTTTCCAAAACTTATTACTAGATGCCTTGAGAAGTAAACTAGCAAATGTTAGCTATATTTTTTTCCTGGGGGGAGCAAGTGGGGTGAGGAAGTAAAGGACCATTCTCAAGTGTTCTTGATGTAACATGAGGTCTCAGTCTGGTTTAGGGTGTATGTGTGTGACTTGCACAGTGCTGATGTTGCCTTGCTTGTGCTCAACAAATTGTAACTATTCTCAAAGTTTGTCTCCATTCACAGCTTGTGTTACAGTATCTTGGTGTCAAACACCATTTTTTGTTTGTTCATTCCACAGATGCTTCAGAACCCATCAGAATTTGCACAGTCTGTAAAATCCCTGTTAGAAGCACAAAAACAATCTATTGAGTCTGGCTCCATAGCTGGTGGGGAACATCTCTGCTTCATGGGAAGTGGCAGGGAAGAAGAAGATATGTATATGAACATGGTGTTAGCACATTTCTTACAGGTACAATTAAATTGCCACTGATTTAAGAGCTGGAGCAAAGGGTGTCTGCATGTGTCATTGATGGTAAACAGCAAAACATTTTTTCCTTAAAATCTGAACTGGTTTTTGCACTACTCAAGTTTACAGTTTTTAGTAAACAAACTAACCCCTGTTTCATTACCATAATTGCCAAACTCATTCCACAGGTTTTTGCTCTGATCAGAATGATCTTTTTTGTTGCAGAAAAATAAGGAGTATGTTAGCATTGCCAAAGGAGGCTTTATGGGTAAGCTTATTAATAATGAACTTTGACTTGAAAAATCTTGATACCTTAACACTTAATATTTTTGAGGCTTTTGCTAAAAGGTATTTAAATGAATAGCAACTAGGTGTCATTTGTCAGGTTTTTGTTTTGTGTAAGTAAACACTGTGCACTTACACATTTGTGGCTAACTCTTGGGGCTCACCCAAATTTCTGAGTGGTGAAAAATTAATGCCAGAACTGGGTAATTCCCTCTTCCAACCTGTCATTATTTATGTTTTAGCCACTGTAGATTATAGATTCATATGGAGATGGAATTTCCTAATTACTATTAACTGCTGTTATGATTTCTTAAATCAGGAGTTCATAATTCTGCAGTTAATGTTGCTGGAAATACTCAGGCTCTACAACAGTAGAGATCTGTGCTACAATATGACAGTAGAGGTATTATTAATCACATGTGTGATATTGTAAGAGCTGTCTCCAAGATCAAAGCAGTGATTTATTTTTAATTGCTGCTGTATTCTAAATGTTTACTAAAATAATTAGTATCCCAGGTAGATAAATAGGCATTAGATAATTAGATTATCTAATTAGATTATCTGTAATCTACTGTAAAGAAAATGTAATGTACTGTAAAGAAAAGCTGGGGATTGTTAGTGATTGCTGAATTTATCTATTTTATTGAATTGTGGGGGGAAAATTGTTACTGATTAGTCTTGGGTATATACAATATTTTCATCAACAGACTAAGTCCAGTGTAATTTTGGTTGTTTTTAATGGCCTTTTAACAGCCCTCCAACAGCACTTAGCAGATATCAATGTGGAAGGACCAGAAAATGGATATGGCCACTGGATTGCAAGTACCTCAGGCTCACGAAATAGCATAAACTCTGTTGATGTAAGTGAAATTTTAGCATAAGTGTTACAGTGGGATGGGAACCCTAGGTTTACCGAATGCTTTCTTCACATTCCTTGTTCTAGTCTGTAAAATGCATTATTGAAAGCCATGACTGTTTTCACTTGTGTGTTTAATTTCAATCACAGTCTAGTCAGAGGTGATCTAAACATTTTTATCCTCTTGAGGGAAAGAGTTTGTAGGTAAGAACTTGCTGCTGTCATTCTCCAGCAGAATATATGTAATAGACAACTCTTTCCCAGGCTCTTACTCTGGGAATAAGTTACTATAAAGTAGCATACAATTTTGCAGCAGAGCTCAAAATGGTATCTTTTCTACAGGTGATATATTATGTGTAGAATTTAGCTTTTAATCTAGATGCAGTGTATCACTAACGGGATTCTTTTGTCTAGATGTCCATAGCAGAGTGCTCAGAAATGTAGTCTGTCAAGCTTGCTTTATAGGATGATATTTTCCTCAGTCACATGTCATTGCTGTTATTTGATAGAGCTCTGAAGAAATACTCAGTTGTGTAATTAAGGTTCTACTGAGTACCAAAAAGTAAATTGCTGTTCTGTAGTCTGTTTCCTTTTTAATAAATTCATTGAGATGAAATAATATACTTTTATATGATTAATCCTGAGAGGAGTTACTTTTTCAGGGTGATTCTCCAAATGGTTCAGGTGATGGAAAAGGAGTGAAGTCCCTAGTGAATAAAATGACGGTTGCTTTGAAGACTAAGTCTGTGAATGTGAAAGAGAAAGTTATCAGTTTTATTGAAAATACATCTACTCCAGTGGACAGGTGCGTCATTTATGTCACTGTGCGTTAGCTGGGAGAAGTTTATTTCATGTGGCTTTTCTGTAAGTGTGAAAACTGCGCTAATTGAGAACAAGTTGCCTTAAAAAACTGAATATCAGGTTTTTAATTCTCTTAACCCTACCCTCATCACACATTTTGTCATGATCCAGGGAGTGTACTGCTGTTCCTTAGTATTGCAAGGCCAGTGTGGGTCCCTGTTGCCTTGATTGCTTATCTAGAATTTGTCATTTAATTTCACTTCTTATAATGTGTCAATTTTGTGTTCAGTCTAAAAGTGAACAATGATTTCAGTTCCTCCCCATCCTGACTCTAATGGAATAGATCAAAGACAGCAGAATTCTGGATAGGTTTTTTCAGTTGGTTGGTTGATTTTGTTCTGTTTTGGTTTTTTTCACCGCTGAGTCTTGCCAAATTGAGTTTACCTCTTTTAAAGATCCTAATTTTTTTCAAGTCCTTGTGTAAAGCTGCTTTCCTAATCCAGAAGTTCAGAATCCACCCTTGTTTAGTTTTTGTGTCTTCAGGAATGAGAATGTGCAAGTAGATTGAAGAACACTGTCAAATTTGGAAGACATCATTCCAATACATACCTTAACTAAATACAAGAATAGCAGCTTTCATCTGTCAGAGCTTTAAATAAAACACCTGTTGTAGTTCTTTAAATTCTTTGAAGATGTATGTTGAATACCAAGACACTGGTATTCAGGAGTCTCAGAGACCTAGCATGTGTTTGATAGCAGGATTTAAAATATCAAAAGAAGAGTAGTTTTTAGTAGTTTTGTTCCTCAGATCATTCCTTCTGTTTGTTTTGGAAAATGTTTTTCTAAATTACTATTATTACTTTTATTTCACAATTAGAGGAAAAAATTGTTAAGTAGTGTTTGGTAGTAGCTTTTGCTGTGTGAAGAATTAAACTTACACATTTGTGGTTAACTCTTAGGGCTTACCCAAATTTCTGAGTGGTGAAAAATTAATGCCAGAATTGGGGAAATTCCCTCTTCCAACTTGTCATTATTTATGTTTTAGCCACTGTAGATTGCAGATTCATATGAAGATGGAACTTCCTAATTACTATTAACTGCTGTTATGATTTCTTAAATCAGGAGTTCATAATTCTGTAATTAATGTGAAGATTTAAACTGAAAGAGGGTAAATTTAGATTAGATATTAGGAAGAAATTCTTTACAGTGAGGGTGGTGAGGTGCTGGCAGAGGCTGCCCAGGGAAGCTGTGGCTGCCCCATCCCTGGCCAATGCTCAAGGCCAGGCTGGATGGAACTTTAAGCAATGTGGTCTAGTGTGAGATGTCCCTGTGCAGGGCAGGGTGTGGAACATGTTGCTCTTTAGGGTACCTTGCAACCCAAGCCATTCTGTGAAATCAAGTACTGCTTGCATTTAAGCCATAGGTAGCATAAGAAATTCATCTTTTATTAGATTTTTTTTTTTTTTGCAAGTATTCTTTTCCTCATGTCCAGCTTTCATGAAGCCTTGTTTTTATTTACAAGCATCCTCCTTGAAGAAGGTACATTGCCAATATAGAGAATTTCAGCTATTTATCTAGGTTTTTCCTTTACATTTTTTTAATTCTTTTGTTCTGTCCTCTGCCCCAATGTACTGTAGAATACCTTTCAATATTTCCTGGCCAGACAGAGCAAGCATGGAGCGGTAAGCTTGATAATTAAGCAGTCTGACTAAAACCACCTTTCTTGTATTTAGCATGGCATCACAATGTTTGTAAGCATTGGTTACACTGACAAGATTGCTTGCATATTTTGATATTAATTGAATTTTTTTAAAATATATTAAAACTTTCTTTTTACAAGCACTGGTCAAGAGACTAAAGGAAGAAAAAGAATGTATTGGCAGTGCTTTCTTAGTTTCTGCTTTGTTATTTCTGTCCTCTTCCTTACTATTGCTTTTTATAGATTTTTTTTTTAACCTGTCATTTCCTATGTACATTTTATTAGTAACCTGTAATAGTAAAAGACACAAAAAATACTGAACACATTGTGGCTTAAGGTTCTAACAAGAGAGACTATAAGTATGAAAAGTAAACTTTTCATAAAACATCATCAGAACTTAGACATGACAGGGAACCCATATGGAAATTCTGTCTGGAAGTCTCAAACTTTTATGCTTCTTATCACATGGTAATAGAACATGCTGAAAGAAATAGACATGCTCATTACTGGGAAAAGAAAAATTGAAAGTAAATATGCTTTTGCAATTCTATCTTATCTTGTTAACATAATTACTGCATTTCATGCAAACGTGGAGGCCCTTCACATTTGCCTCACATACAGTGTCTTATAATGATTTCAGAAATAAAAATTGTGAATTGAGTTTTTATAAATTGACTTGTGGTAATTGAAGAGCAGTTCATGCATAATCACTTTGGAACTTTGGTTATGCTTTAGGAGTTCTGTAGCTTTTGACCTTCTTACACTGAAATGCATGGAAATTAATGGTAGCTGAATTATTGAAAATTTTAAAACTGGATTTTCAAGGATTTTTCACTAATTTTTCTTTCAAGTAGTTTGCACATAATTTGAGCTGGGATTCACCCAAAAGCATCACAGAAAGGTATTGTTCGTGTGAACAAAATCAGTAGTAGTGTTAACCAGTATTCTGTAAAAGAAAAGCAATAGGAATGGCCCAACAGCACACATGTTTTGTTAATTCAGAAATACTAAAGATCATGGGGATTGTACCCCACTTTTTGTTGATCTGTTTCTAGAATATGGTAACAAATGTTAAAATACCAAATTAAATATATGGTGACTCTACAAGTCAGAGATGTATGAATCTGTATTTGTAACCAAGAAGTTTTGATATATTGAGATTTTGCTTTGGTTATTTTGCATATTCCTTTCACTCCTATTTCACATCTTCTTTCATTGGGTAGATGTAATAATAAATTAGTTCACACTGTATATCCCTAGAGTATTTTCTTAAAATTACAGTTCTTAAAAACCTAGAATGGCATTTTTTCTGTATCCATTCAATTAGGTCTACTTTGTGCTTATCACCAGGATGTTTCATTTGGTAGGTTTGCCACCAAAAGACATTGCATTCAATTTGTAGCCATGTAATGATAGCCTGCCCTGTCAACAGGTTAAAGAGAATAAATTTCTAGTTTAAGATGTTACCAGGCTTTTATAAAGTAGCATTTTACTCTCTTGTTTACTCTCTTGTCTTGACTAACTTCAGTTGATAAACACCAGTGAGATCTGCTCTTAGATCCTCTATGTATAATTCAATTTGACAATATTTGAATTTGCTGCTTCTTACTCAATTGGTTATGTTTTACTAAAGCATATTTACAAAATAATATGTATTCCGTATGGAAGCACTGCCCTCTTGAATTGTCAGTGTCATTGATGCTTATTGTCTTAAACACTAATGAGCATGTTATTGTATGTTTAGTTTTGTGCCATTTTAGACCACATTTCTGTTTGTTTTTTAACTTTTCCTTATTTTGTTCATATTACTAAATTTTACCCATAGAAAATGTTGTTTTCTAACTTTTAATTCTACGTTTAACTATCCCTAAGTAGTAGCATTAATTTACCTGTTACTAAACCTGTTCCCTGTCCAGCTTGGTTCTAAAGTAGCATGTAAACTGGAGTTTGTGAATATACTTAAAACAGGAGGCAAGGCTTAGAGTTGGTAGGAAAAATAAATGCACAGTATGGGGAAGGAGGTTATTGAACTGGAGGAAAGAGACAGGCAAGTTTTTTGGTTTTGAGTGTTGTAAAACTGCTAAGCATTGCCAGTTCTAAAGGCTAAAATTATGAACTGGTTGGTTTTTTCAGAAATTGACTGTTTTGTTGCTTTCTGAACTTTCAGGTTTTTGTCTTATTTTTCAGGTATTCTCTACAGTTCAGAGCAAGGGCTTTTAATTCAGCTGTGACCATGTAATTGCAGCATTCTGAGCTGGAGCTTTAAAATATCTCAGGGCTGTCACACATTAAGACTCAGTTGTCTGTGTCATTTGATATAATCTGTAGAAATAATTTAAATGTGATTTTTGACATCAATATCACAATAGTGCTGGGATTGTAGCAATAGGAATTGTTTGAGTAAATATTTCAACATTTGACTCAAGCTGGAAGTAGTGAGCAGGAAGTCATGATTTAGACTGCAGTGGATGGTTTGTAATAACCCCACTGTGTAGTTCTTAAGGCATTTTGTTATCTTTTGAAGAATTTACAAGGAAAAAAATAACTTCCAGACATGTTAGTTAAATCTTTGTTTTTCACTTCATCTGAATTTGGCATCCTTGTGAAGTTGCCCTGACTGTCCAGTTATGTTTTAGTTTTATGCTGGAAACTTAGCATGTTGTCAGTTTTCAGGTCTCTAATGTGTGTTGCTATTTGAGAAGGTGAGCAGAAGTTGGGGGTTTTTGAAACAAAACAACCTTTCTTTCCACTTGCTTTGTTACAAGAGTCAGCCTCACAAAGCGACTGAACTATGTGCTTTCTCTAACCAAGTTGCTTGATGGGTCACTCAGGTCTTCCTTGCAGGCAGCTTCATAAATTATCTTGTCTGTTGCACAACTGTGTTTACATTTTGCTAATATGTTACTGGGGAACTCAGACCATCAGTTTGAAAGATACTTTTCTTCTCCTGTCCCATGCCCTCTCCTGCCCTTTTCATTGCCAACAGACATGTCAGCAGCAGTGACAGAGTTGGAAAACCCTACCGTGGTGTGAAGCCGGTATTCAGCATTGGAGATGAAGAAGAATATGATACTGGTACAGTAGAAGATTTTCCTCTTACCTAGATTATCTTATTTAGGCAAAATTATTAAGTTAGACTAAATCAAAGAGTGTCTCTTACATCTTTGTCTTGCAATATGATACTTGTCTATTATTGTTGTACATGTGTGTTATGGTAATGCCTAGGACCAGCCCTCTTCAAATACATAGTAGCAGATTAAATAAAAAATAATTTGTGGTAGGCACCAAACAGTCAACAGGAAGAAATTGAAATAAGCAGATGTAGTGGATCTTTTGTCTTTACTTGTTATTTCTGTAACAAAGATCTTTTTCTACACTGATCTTGTATGCATAAACTAGCAATTGTGCCTTTATTACTCTCAACAGTAAGCAAAATATAGATTTAGTTTGGCTGATGTATCTCAATTTAAATGTCTAGTATTGTCAGTTAGTGTAATGCTCTGAATTTCTGAAACATAGTTGGAGCTAGACTTTAAATGGCTAATGTGTGCACACCTCTCCAGCATTTCAGACTTTGCTTTTCAGCACTGAATCTATTAATAAAGGATTAATCCCTTGATAAGCATGCTGGTTGCTGTAGGAAAAAACATGCAATTTTTATTTAAATTTTTTATCTAGCTGAAAAACTGCAGGCAAAACTAGAGCACCACACATTTCATAAAGGTTTGGAGGTTTTTTGAGAGCAGTTCTAACATTAGAATGGTGCAGACCTACTGCTGTCCTGATTTTGCTCTGGTAGTTTTAGCCAGTCATCATCTCACAAATAACTCTTTTGTGGCCAAAAGGCGTATTTGGCTTCTGTAGGAGAAACAAGTAACTAGTCTGAGAATCTTTGACATGCAAAAGAAACAATTCAGGAAGATTAATGAGAGTCAGAGGTTTAAATAACATGGATGACAAAACAGTTGATCATTATCTGCAATAAAAATTTTGAAGGAGCAAAGTGAAATTATCAGGCAGAAGCTTTAATGCTAACAAGATTTTTCTCCAAATGCCATGTGATTAATTGTGCACAGTTCTGTGAGCATCCATAATAGTGTTTGGCAAAGTCTGTGTAGATTCAGAAAACCAGCTCCCCCAAGACAGATTGTCTAGAACACATTTTCAGTAATGGTTGTTTGCTAAGTTCTGTTAATTATTTGCTTTTCAAAACACTATTACACTTGGTAAGTAAGTAGAATCAGAGTAATTTGAGTGAGCAAAGCCAACACATATGAAGTGAAATACATATAATCTTGATACAAAAGAATGCAAAAAGTGAACCTGTTTCTGTATAATTTGTTTTGTGAAGCTTTAGTCTTTGGGGTTTTTCAGTAGTAAGTAATTGCAGTCAGCTGTAATTATTGCAGCCTGCTTCAGGTGGATCTGCTTGAGCAGGGGAGTTGGACCAGGTGACCTCCAGAGATCCCTTGTGTCCTCAGCCATTCTATCATTCTGTGGCACGAGGGTGGATTATTGTTCCATCTGTTTCAATTCCGTTATCTATTTTTCAGTGAAAGCGTTTTCCAAAGTGTCTTTCAAATTCTGAATTGCATTGAAGTAAATAGTTAACAAAGTGTAGGAAAGTGACTTTGAAAAAGGCTCTTTAAAGAGCTGTCCTGAGTTATTTCTGAGAGTAATTTGTATGGAGTTAATACATTTGTGTTAGATTGTGTTAGATAACTAGATTGCTTAAATTATTTTAATGTAGCACCAAAATTACTCTGTAAACATAATCACCACCTTTAGACATAAAAGCAGTATTTTGCAACTAAGTAATAACATGTGCAGGAGTTTTGGGTGTTTCACAGAGATCTGTGCTGAAAATTTAGGGTTGGAATATGTTCTTAAATGTCCTTTAAAAAGGATGTGAAGCCAAAGACGGCAATTTTTGCTAATGATCCTAGGTTATTTGAGATAGTGAAAGCAGACTGAGTCTTTTGCTAATCTGAATGACTGGGTAATAAAATGGCACATGAAGTTCAGTATGAATTTAATGCAAGAAAGACATTTAAAAAACCCCACCCACTTTTAATTTCAGATCTAGTTGTGGTAGAATGATTTGGCTGTGTCCAGCAGCAGTGGGTTTATAATAAGTAAGCAGTCATTAGCAGTCAGAAAAGGAAATCAAATCCTCAGAAATCTATGGTTCACCCACACATTAAATATTGTGTGTCTTCTGCCCTTGATGTCAGAAAGAAAGATGTGATATTACTTTCAGAAAAGGCACAGCTGAATGTTAGAAGTTTTCTTATGTGAAAGAGGCATTTCAAGGGAGAGAAAGTGGTCCACAAAAATAATGTCTGGCCTTGAAAGAGATCAACAGGTGTTCATTTCTTCTTGTAAAAGAGACTAGAAGCCACAAGAAGAGAGTCTCCTGGACTGAAGTTGGCTTGGTTTTGGTACTCCTTGCCACAAGATATTGGTGGTTTAAATGCAAAGGGTTTATATGGCTTTGAGGAAAGTCTGGACAAGTCCATGTGAAAGAAACCCATGAAACTTTACTGAAGGGACAAATTAGAACAACCTGAGATACCTCCTGAGCTCAAGATACTTTTTTGTTCAGAGAAAATTAAGAGAGAAATATCAGATATACCTTTTTCTTTCTTCCCTCTCAATGATTCTGTATGGTTAGGTACACCTGCTTTGAACCAGTGTAGCTACAGTGGCTTTAAACATACTGAAAAATTGGCTGATGGGTGTGAAAATGCTTGTTTTGGTTTTTTTTGTTAACGTTTTTCCCCCCTCCATTCAAAACAGATGAAATTGATAGCTCCTCAATGTCAGATGATGATCGAAAAGAGGTTGTCAACATCCAAACGTGGATAAATAAGCCTGATGTGAAGTATAACTTTCCATGTAATGAAGTAAAAGAAAATGGACATATGTTTCCCAGGTACTGAAATTAATCCTAAGTTCAATGAAAACATCCATCTTGGTACACATTCTAAAAAAAAAGTGTTGGTCACTTAATTTATCCATTATATTAAAGTAGAAAATGGAAGTGTGAACAAAGTGTTAATGTATTTGCATTCTTGTATTTGCAGTGTCATAGAAAGGTAATTATGTATAAAACCTGGTGTAAAGTTTTGCTTTGAAGATAGTAAGAAAAGTTGAAGGGGGAGAGAGGGTCTTGGAGGTACTTGCCATGCTCTGTGCACCAGTAGTGTTGGGGAGGATGCTATGCTTGTTTTCAGAAATGGCCATGCTACAGCACTCAAGGAAAATCAGAAGTATTTTGTAGAGCTTTCTTAATTAGATGACAGTATTAAAACTGTTTCTTAGGTTTGGTAGCGGTATTAATCTCCATGTAGTTTATTCATAAACATTTCTAAACAGTTGATATTTAATTCATTAAGAAAACTAATAAGTATTTTTCTTCTCTTCCAGTCATCTCCTAGTCACAGCAACTCATATGTACTGTTTGAGGGAGATTCCATCAAGAAAGGGACTGGCTTACATACAGTCTCGACAGGCACTCAACTCTGTAGTCAAAATCACATCCAAGAAGAAACATCCAGAACTGATCACCTTTAAGTATGGAAATAGCAATACTTCAGGCATAGAAATTCTGGCAGTTGAAAGGTAAGCCATCTCAGTAGCAGAGGTGTAAGTGGTAATGATATCCAGGATGCTGGACACTGGAAGTCAAGGGTATGCTGTAATTCACAGAATTGAGTTCAAAAGTAATAGTTTTTATTTAGGAATGTATAATTCAGATATGAACTAGGAAAAAAAGATTTGCCAGCAAAATGGTGAGTATTTGAGACCCAGAAGTGAGGAACTGCAACTGCAGTTGTTAGGGATGGGATGTGTGCAAATGTTTTCCTTTTGTAATAGGTCTTAAGCGAAAATGAAGTGAACAGTTCTCTGCAGCAAAAATATGGATTTGTGAAAAATGGCATTTATAAGTATGGTCATTTTACTGTGCAATTTTTTTATTTTTTTTTTTTTTTACATCTGACTCATATTGTCTGTGCAGTGTGCAAGGAGTCCAGAAGCCTAAACTCAAAACTCTAATTCCCTGAAATCTGATTCCTGGAAGTTACATGTAGCCATGCTCAGTATTTGCATGCTTAAGAGGGGGAAGGGGTCAGATAGAGCGATGTATCAGGCTTTTTTCCATTGGTGTAGCTTGCTGTTTCTTGGCACTCTTTTAATGAGGTTGCTGATACCAGCTGGATGTTTTCTCATCCTCTTCCTTGGAGAGAACTGTGTGCTGTGCAGTGGATGCTCTGTTTTCACAAGAGAGGGGAGATGAGTTGGAACCTGGCTAGAGACATTCTATGCTTGTTGGCTCCTTAGGTTTGTAGTAGGTCAAGAAAGATAAATTAAAATTTTGCAGAGAACTTTACTGCTTGTTGAACTCATCACTGCCTTGTAGACTGGAGCAGATTGATCTAGAGCTATCTATAGGAATTAGAAAAACAAAAACCACAAAAACCAAAATACCACAAAAAAAAAACCAAGCAGGGACTGCTATGCTTCAGTCAGACAGTGATGTCTATGTAGAGATATTGAATGGCCTAACCTGTCCTGTTGTCAACTTTTCTTTCCAAGATGGCCTGTGAAGTACTCAACAGTTCTAACTTCACAAAGAGAAAGTTTCATAGTATAATCAGGAATTAAATGTTATTTTCTTAGTATTTTTTTTCATTTTAATATATTCCCCTCTTCCCTTCCTACTAGACAGAGGAAGAATGAAAAGAATTATGGAATTTATACTCAAAAATTTTATGGTGAATTAATGATGGCTTTTTCTAATTTTTTTTAAGGTATTTGATTCCAAATGCAGGTGATGCTACCAAAGCCATTAAACAACAGATCATGAAAGTATTGGATGCCTTGGAGAGTTAATAACTAAAGACTTTGTAGAGACCAGTTTATAAAGAAGAAGCAACCAAGATACTGTATGTGGACACAAGCTGACTGTTTCCCAACTGAATACTAACTTAAGAGAATTTTTCTGTTTGCTGGTGGGAGTGCCTGAGTAGCAGGCTTGAGATAGGGTAAATTATTATCCATTTCTGAACAGGATTTTTGTTTGGGTTATTTTTATTTTTTTATTTTGTTATTTGTTTTGTTTTGGAGAAGTGTTTATTATAAAGGTCAGTTTGTTTCATTTTAATGCAGCCTTGCTGGGAGTGATCTGCATCTTTGCAAGAGCAGATGCAGCTGGGTTCATGTTAAGTGTGTGTTAAAGGAATGGGGGGACTGAGATACAGAGGAGCAGTTGAAAACACAATGGTTTTTAAATTGTTATCCCTTGCAAATAAGATGTCTCCATTGCCTACAGTCTAGAAATTTGATTTTTCCTAGCTGGTAGTATCAAAGATTAATTAAAAATTTAGCTTTTTGAGCAGAGCAGATAGAAATCTTAAAAACACCATTTTCACATTAAAAATGGTTAAGTCCAGTTTGGGCTGCAGATAAATGGAAAAAATACAAGCAATTTGTGAAATTAAGGGTTTTTTAAATGTCTTACCAGCTACTAGGCTAAATAACTGGAATTGGTGGTAAGGATTATTTTTAAATACTGATATTACCTGTAGTTTTTACTACAGCAGTGTGATTTTTTTTTTTTTAATTATGCAAAATTTTACATTTCATAGGTCGAGGCTATTTCCCGTGTAAAAATGAGTGTGTGCACTGAAATGCATGTTTCATGACAGAATATGAAAACAAGTTGCCTTGCTCCTCAGAAACAAAATATCTAAGAAATTTAGGTGTTTAAAACCCTTCAGTTCAGCACAAAAGTGAGTACACCCTGACCAAAGGTGTGTTCAGCAAGAAGATGAATGCACACAAAACCAGGGAAGAAATTCTAGTGCTGGCTGCCTTCATTGATTCAAGCATTTGTAACAGCTTCTAAATTAATAAATATTTGGGAGATGGCAACTTATATGATTGTTCATCATAAGCTTTCCATTTGTTCAAGAGTTGTTCTCTTGTTCAAAGCTCAGTACAGGAATGTTCTTACAGACAAGGCAGAGCATCTTTGTAGACTGATGGTAAATCACCAAAAACTATAAAGATAATGGGGATTAGTTTTGCTGCATAAAATCTTCTGAGTACTTGAATCAAAGCCTATGATTTGGTACTTCATCAGAAGGTAAAATAAGTTAAACTGACCTTTATAAAAAACATTTATTCTAAGTTATTTTACTAGGAATCAAGCTAGGGCACCTTAATTCTTGAACTAATTTTTTTTTTTTTCTTCTTAGTATCTGAGTAAACACCAATAGAACTTGAACTGTTGAGAATATTTGCATGAAATTGCACCTGGGCCAATGCTCATGTATTTATAGTTTTGCCCAGCAGCTGTTGTATTACATTTTCCTCTTCCTAATCCCTCCTGAAAATATCCTCAAGAGTCTTTGACTCTGTGCCTACTTCAGCAACAAGATTTTTTCATGTAAAGATGTTTGTGCTACTGTTTATAAACTACAGTTGTAAATAAACCAGTACAATTTGAACATAACTTGTTCTGTCAGAAGGCATTTAGTTGCATACTGTGTAAATTCTCTGAATCAATTAAAAGTTTTTCCTAAAGGTGTTTTGTAAATGGAAGTGAATTTGATCTTTGGAGTGGAGGAAGCTGATTATGGATCATAGGGAGCTACTGCCATGACTTCTTAGTGTAAGTATTTCAGAATTTAAGTTAATTTCACTAAGGAGTTTTGGGGGAGCATTCACGGAAAGATCAAAGTGAATTAAAAAATAATCAAGATATAAAAAAGGTTTCTGCATAAATTCCAGACTTCTCAGCATTGTATTTTTATTATGAAAATGTTTACAGAATGATACAACATGTTTCTCCTCCTCAGGAGGGGGAGAAGTGAAAATGATACTCAGTTGTTAAACAGGTATATTTGAGTATTAAATGTGGAACATGGCTAATGTGTATGTTTCACTCTGAGGACAGCAAATACAGAAGACCTTTCTTCAGCAAGTAAAGCAACAGGAAGTCAGTTCTTAAGTCCCTTCTGTGTAGAAACATACAATCCAAGCTGTTTTGAGGCTAATTATTTGTAAATTTTAGGGAAATGTACAAGTTATCAGCAGACCTCTTAGCTTAAAAAGCTCAGCCCAAACTATGAATAATTTCAATGGTACTGGTGTATCTCTACCCACAGTTTAAGGCCCACTTTTGCCTTATAGTGTACACACCTGTAGTTATTATTTTTGTTATGAAACTTGTACTATTAAGCAGAAATTTTAATTACAGTACTGCAGCAACATTTTTTGAAAAGAAAACCCCAAAATGTTGGTATGCTACTTCCTGTCCCTTTTAGCTTTGAGGATTTATTTTTTTTAAATTATTTGCTAGAGATGCGTTGGGTCTTGTTTTATTTATTGCATGCACACTGTCTATATTGTTGGATATAAGGTGACAGTTGTTATGATGCAGGAGTGATAGAAATGAGGTCTGGTGTAGGAAAGAAAGTCTTGGAGTAAAATTTCCCTGCCAAGTGAAAGCTCTTACGTTTGTGTCACAGTGAGAGTTTGTGCTTCTGTGCTCACTGACGGCTCTTCACTTGTCTCACTAACTCTTTTAGATTATGATTTGTATGAGAATTTGTAAAGAATTTTACATACTGTTGATTGCAGAGTTGCAATTTTTAAAATTGCCTTTTCTGTTAGCCCTAATACATGGGTCTCACCTGTGATTGTATCTTTTCCTTCCAACTGCATGTCAGCTGTGGTTTCAAAACTTCAGCTACTGCCAAGTAAGCTTTTTCAACATAGGCGTTGTCTACTGAATGTGTGAAAAGTTTCCTTTTAGGGAAGGAAAATGGTGGTACTATGTAACTTCTTCTACTGGGCATACCTAGTGCCATCAGATACTTTTGTTTGGATGCTTGAAAAGAATACATTTTATCTCTGAGCCATGGGAAACTGGATTTTTGGCCTGTGCTTTGCACCTTGAAAGGATGACGCTACCTAATTTTTTATTCTTTTTCTTATTTGGGAAGAAGTTGGGAGACAGCTGTTCTTTGCACCTGGAGCCCTTCAAAGTGTGATATTTGGAGAAAAAAATTACAAAAAAATCATACATGTTCTTTTACCACCCTGGGCATGTATAAAAAAGGAGGGAGGGAGGCCTGCTAAGGGCTGCTGCACTGTCTGTTCTGCCATCCTTTGGCTTGGTCAGATTGGGATGAGTGGTTCTCTTTTCTGCTCCAAGGGGCAGGTTGAGCAGTTCTCTGGTTGAAGGAAGGTTTGTAATTGTTGAACACAGTAGTGGTTATGCACTTCCATCCTTTATCTCTCTCCATGTTTCCTGAAAGGGAAGGTGTGTAAGAGATTGATCACCCTGGGTTACCCATTTTATCTTTACCCATTCTGTCGTTGTGTGCTTTCAGCTTACAGACACAATCTTGTGCGAGAAATATTGCTACACAATATAAATCTACAATTCTACGAGCATGCTTCTAAAACACCCAAGGCTGGAAAAGATGTATGAGACAGCAATGTTTTGTGCTGAGTAAAAGGGAGCACTTGGGGTTTAAAGCCAAGGAAGAGCAGCATGGTACTTAGTGTGTAGGTTTCACAGAATTGGCAGTCTTGGTCAGGACCTCTGAAGCTCATCTAGTCCAAGTGCCAAGGCAGGGCCACCTATAGAGCAGGTGACACAGGAACTTGTCCAGGTGGGTTTGGAATGTCTCCAGAAAGGGAGACTTCACTGTGCAGCCTGTTCAGTGCTCTGCCGCCCTCAGTGTAAGGAAGTTCCTCCTCATGTTGAGGTGAAACTTTGTGTTTTGGTTTATGGCCATTGCTCCTGTCCTGTCACTGGGCACGGCTGAAATGAGTCTGGCACCACCCTCTCGACAAACGCCTTTGAGATGTTTATATGCACTTGTGAGATCCCCTCTCAGCCAAATCATCTTTGTTTCCTCCACTGCACCCTCTCTAGTATCATCCTGTCTTTCCAGCACTGAGGAGCCCAGAACTGGACATTGCTCCACATCTGGAGCACTGTGAAGGTGTTTGTACCTTGGGAGATGCCGTTCTTGTACAGAAAGACAGGGACGTCCCAGGTGAACGGGTTCCCTGTAAACTGGTACAGGTCCCTTGGGATGAGCCTTTAGCTTAAGGCTGCCAGGGGTTGTTGCGTAGGGCAGGGCAAAGAGGCTCCCGGCACAGCCGGTGCTTTGAGGGCTCCGCTGTTGCTGCCGGCGCTGAACGGGGAGCGCTGCCCGCTCTCTGCCGCCCTCACAGGCCGGGCAGAGCGGGGGTGCCTCATCCCGGCGCTTTGCCGCTCCGAACGCTGGTCCCGGCACCAGGCGGGGCCGGTCGAAGGCGGCCTGAGGGCGGTTCCGAGCAAAGCCGGGCCCGGGCCGGGACTGCGAATCCCGGCAGTCCCCGCGGGCCGCGCCCGCCCGGGCGGTGCCGGGAATGCGGGCGGCCGGCGGAGCCATGGCGTGTGAGTGGGAGCCTTTCCCGTCCCTCTCCTCCCGCGGTCCCGGCGCCCGCCCGGCCGGGAAAGGCTCCGCGGGGCGCTGTCCCGGGTGCCCAGCGCCTCCCCGGTGGGATCGGGAAAGGCCTCGGGCCTGGCCGCTGGCACAGCCTGTGGAGCCGGCAGGGAAAAGGGAGCTGCCCTGGCGCTCCGCTGGGCACAGACCGGGAGACAGCGCTCGCCCTGCAGGGACCAGCTCCTCAAGAAACGCGAACAAACCGGGCGTGCTTCGCTTCAGCTGATAGAAAACAAAAGCAAGCGTGTTTTGTAATGTAGTGGTGCAAATGGGAACCATTATTTTACTCTGATGCGCTTTTACCTGGTTGTGGCCTACGTTGCTTTAGGCTTATCCTGACAATTGCTTTTAAAGAAGTTTTTGAGGCAGCTGGTCAAGGCTGGGGGCGAGGTCTCTCTCTACAGCACTGCTGCGCATTTCTCTGTATTTCTGTTGCTTCCACATCTCAATGTTTGTAAACGAAACTGTGGCACAAGTACGTGTGTTCTGTTGTGGCTGAGCTTCAGTTTTGCACCTTATCAAACTCCAAACCTGAGGCATATAATATTATATTTATAGGAAATAATATATTTTATAAAAAAATAATATTAATTACCCTAATTACATTTCCTGGTGTTTTAAACATTATGTGGGTTTTTTTCCTAGTGCCTTTTCTTCTTCTTTTTTTTTTTTTTTTCTTTTAAGCTGAAATGTAAATCTTTGAGTGGCCAACTTGTCTGAATTAAAACACATTCCACAAATACTGAGAAATTTTTCACAGATCCCTAGTATGATTATCTCGGTGGGTCTGGAACCTATGGTTACATCTATTCAGAGTACCAGATAAGCTTTGTTTGCTCAATAGAGCCAACACTAAAAGTTTCTCACATGAAGAGTATCAAAGGGAGCAGTTAATCGCTTGCTTAACCTCTAGAAATTAGCTGCTTAGCTACTGAAGTGAGAATTAAATAGGAAAAAAGATGTATCTCAACTGCTTCTGACCCAATCTCATCTTCACTTGAGTCAGTTTCCAGTTTCCTGACCACTGGAACTGTGTTGCTTCCAGCTTTGTCTTATGGTGATATTTGACTGTATGATGGGGAATTTTTCAGACAGGAGAGGTACTATGAAACTGGGATACTTTTATAAAGCCAGAGAGGATGGGTTGGTTGTTTGGTTTGTGTTTGTTTCAAAGGAAAGAGTTCTACCTGATCAGGGTGTGTTTTCCTACAGCCTGGGGTACCCAGAGATTAATGGAAGAAGTCCAAGGGGTGTGCACAAAACTTGGTTACTTGGAGAGCCTGCAAATGTGTATCCTTCTTAATGGAAGTAGAAGCTGTTGATAACACTTGCAACTTGTCCAGAAACTAGTTTGCTAAGAAATGAATAGGAAAGATGTTAACCTTTCTTGGTTTTTATAGCCATTTCCCAGACTGTGTGTGAATTGAGGGATAAAAGCTAACAGTTCCTTTATTTGGTGCTTTTGGGATTATCCAGTCCTTTGGTGCACTAGTGACATTTTAGGAGATGTGTGTAATAACAAGATGGGAAGAAAGGGCTGGGGGGACCTGTGCTCTCCCTTTCTGTAACATGGCTCCTTCCCCTAGAGCATGGACTGGGTGTTGCTGGCATGTGAGCTCTGTGATCTTTGCAGGGTGGTGGCCATGCATGGCTCCCACTGGCAATCCTGGGGTTCAGTGCTCTCCCTGCATTAAAAGAGACTGTTTCCAGAGTGAGAGATAGGCTGCAGCCTGAGTTGGTAGTGGTTTGTGCACATGTTTATACATTATCTCATTTGTTTCCTTCAATGCTTATTACTGAATTCAAATTTGGAAGAGTTCCTGGAGGAATTCTGATTAATAATTTTTTTCTTTTCTGCCATCAGCCTTCCGCCTTGCTCTTATCCAGCTTCATGTATCTGCTGTTAAATCAGATAATCTCCAACGAGCCTGTGGACTGGTGAGAGAAGCATCAGCTAAAGGAGCAAAACTTGTGGCTCTACCTGTGAGTAAAGATCATGGCACACTTAGCCCTTGTGCTTCAAAACCTCTTTCTAGTGTTATTAATGACTATCTATTCCTCTTCCTCTCTGAATAGTTTAGATGCTGTATGAAGCTTCAAAAGAGCACTCAAAACTTAAAAATCCCAGGGATTGCACTAAGAGGTGGGGAATGAAAAGGGAAACAAAAAACAGGTTGATCTTTTTTGTAGTGTAGGATTTGGGTAAAGTTTTTGCTGACATAAATCCTAGGCAATGCCATCATTGATATATTCTGAATTTGGGTGACTGACACTGCAGTTTGAATCTTTGCTGAAGAAGTGTAGAAAAAGGCAGTTTTCATCTAAAGAATGTTGACATGAAGGTGAAAGACAGTACACAGAAATTCTTTGCTGTAAGCATTCTAGATACATGAGAAGCAAACTAGACTTAAAACATATTTCCAGCAGGTCATTTGTGGTTGAATTATGTCACATTTCTCTTGTGACTTCCATGTGTGGAAACATAAATAGCCACTTAAAATGGTCAACCACTTCTGACTTACTTTTTGCCCTTTGGCCATAATTCATTCACTTTGCTGAATTTTCACAATAGTTGTGCTGACAACAGGGTGGTCTTCCCAGTGCAGCTTTGAGCTTTTCTCCTCTCCTCATGGGGTTGTGTTCACTTGTGTTACTCCTGTACCCTGCAGCATCTGACACAGGAGTGCAAAGTTCATCTTTGTGTGAACTTTGGGTCTCAGTTTTACACACAGAATGGTTTCTCTCTTGATGTCATGAGGGAAGCATTGAGCAACCTTCCCAGCTCCTCTGTGCTGACATGGTTCTTGTGTTGCAAACATGACCATTCAGTGATCTCCCCGGGCCTCCTGTGTAGAGATTACCTATTATTTACTGGTTTCATCATGTGTACAAACATTGAATTTTCCAGACTTATTTAGCTGAGATACTCACTTTGCCAATAATGATTTATGCTTTTAGAATAGGAGTTGTCAAACATGGGCAAGGCATTTCACAGACTTTTGGGAGATACGTTTTGTGTTGACATTGGGGCATGGGCATGAAATACTGTCTTCCCTCTGTTGTTTCTTTGGGGGTTTGTTGGTTTTTTTTTATAACTTTATATAAAGATAAGTAACTCACACTGAATATATGAAGATGGAGGCAGCTGGCTTTGCTTTCACTTCTTTGAAGTTCAGCCCAGATTTCAGAAACCAGGGAAGCTCATTTTGACGGCCTGCAGAGACTTCCCTTCCTGCTTCTTCCATCTACAGGTTGTGCTGTGGATTAGCTGGTACCTGCTGGCCTAATGCCTGTATAGGGGAAAAAACCCTTTCCATCTTGGGTTCATTTATTCCAGTTCAGTAGAACCTACCTCAGTTGTTAAGAAGTTTGCTTGAGCAGATAAAGCAGAAATGTTTATTGTGCTAGTCACAGCTTGGGGTTTTTTTCTTCCCTTTTCTTTGTCGGGGATGGGGGTGTGTTTGTCACTCCTGATGAGCAAAGGGAACAGTGGAGGTGTCTGGGCTGGGAGTCACTTTCTCACAGAAGAGAGGTTGCTGCCACAGTTTGATAGCCTATCTGTGGCCTCCAGCTGTATTCCTTCAGGGGACAAAAAAGTGTTGTGTGGGGTGTCTCACATCCTCTCAGAGCTGTCAAGTGTAATGCAGAGTGAAAATTCCTCTTATCTTGGGCATCTCAAATACCACTACCCTGCCTATTTTAGTATCTAAACTACCCTGTTAATCTGACAGTGTTAAGATAACATGCCTGGTTCTGAGGGATGGCAAATCTTTAGGGGACACTGTTCAGGTTGTCAGGAAATAGTGTTTAAAGGATTGGTTTAGCAAAGCAGTAAGTAATTTTGAGAAATGCATGCTTTTGCAAATGTCCTTCTAAAAATTAAAAAATTATGGGCTGAGGATGAGCATGAGCATTTCACAGTTTTGAGAGGATCTTTTGAGCTTTTAACCTGTCAAATGACCTGTGTGGAACTTGGCTCCTCATTCTGATGTGAGCATCCCTTGTGTTCTTGCTAAGCCCAGAGCAGCAGTGAAGTGCTAGCTTTACAGCTTGCATGATAGTCTTAGCTCATGTCCTGTTTGGCATGCACTCCACAAACACACCTGTTGTATTTTCAACAATTGTTCAAGTCTTTCTGGCCTCCCTGGCATTTTCTGGTTCATTTATTGAGCTGCTATAAACTAAACCCCTGTAACCAAAGGTTGTTTGAGAACATGATTAGAGAGGAATTTGAAAGGTTAGGTATGTCTCATTTTATTTTTTTCCCATCTAATTCTAGGAATGCTTTAATTCTCCATATGGAACTCAATACTTTAAGGAGTATGCAGAGAAGATCCCCGGGGAATCAACACAAAAGCTGTCAGAAGTTGCAAAGGAGTGCAGTATATATCTCATTGGAGGTAGTTTACTCTTAGTGACCATCTCACTGGGGGGAAATGGGAAATGTTTATTACTGCCATTGGATCAAAATTACACCAATAATACAGTGGGGGAAACCTCTGTTCTCACCTTTACAAAGGATCCATTCCAGAAGAAGATGGTGGAAAGCTCTATAATACATGTACTGTCTTTGGGCCTGATGGTGCTCTGCTGGCAAAGCATAGGAAGGTAAGACAGCAGAATATTGTTATGAAAAGTTTTCTCAGCAGTGTTGCACAAGCTGTTTCATCTGTACTTAAAGGTGATATAAATTAGCAGAATATTACTATTATAAGTTGTGTACCATCACCCATGAAATTTCATGTAACTTTTATTTGGGGCATGTAAATACCACTTCAAAAGGTGGTCATAAATTTGTTCTGGATAAGGATGACAAAATAGTGGAAGGTGTAATTAGCTTTCCCCATATGCTGGGAAAACCATGATAAAGAATGAAACCTGATGAAACTCAGATATCTCTGTACCCTGGCCTAAGTCTAAAACACAGTGCCACTTGAGTGGGATCAGAATATTTCCTCAGCTTCCTAATGGATTTAGTTTTTCTGTTATAATAAATACTGTTCTTTACATACTTTGTAAAGTTTGTGCTATACGTGTGGTTAGTGCAGACATGCGGAGTCCAAGTTAAGCTGTCATTGCTATTTGTGGTAGATGTTTGCTTGTTGTCATCTTCCACCTCAACACTGCTTTGTGCCTTCTAGAAAACTGCCTCCCATTTGTAACTTCAGAGTCAGTTTCTCTTCATGGGACTGTTGTATTCATTCTTATCCCCAGTTCTTGTTCATGGGAGAGTGCACACAGGGATCACTCCATGAGTGAACAACAGGTTATTTCTTTCAAGGATAAGCCAGAAAAGGTAATACAGGGTTACATGGAACAAATAAGGTGGTGCAAAATCCCTCAGTGGTACAGGTATTCATGTATTCTGTTTGCTGATTCTTCATTAGCATCACTTACTAGATCACCTTGTGCAGTTCTGTGTTGCCTTCCACCTGTCACAGCACAGCAGTGTGCAAGCCCAGGAGTTGCTCGTAGAATGGGTGCAGGCTTGTGCAAAGTATGAACAAATGATAAACTAAAACCAGCTCTGTTGTTAGGAACAGTCAGGAACACTCTCCATTGCAAGGGAGGGTTAAAGGCTGCTGCAGCCCCTCAGGGGCATCTGCATAGCTGAAGTCATGGGAACTTTTTGGCTCGGTGAAGGTGTTTTCTTGAGAAGCTTTACAGGAATGGGACTCAGATGTTAGAGACAATTCATTAAGTCAAGACATCTGTCTGTTTTGCATGCATTTGCAACTTTAGACATGTGTATTTCTGTAAAGAAGAAAATACTTTAAATCATCTTTGGGGGATCTAATAATGTTAAGCAATGTTTACTTTGGATCCTGACAGAAGAGTAGTCTAGATAACAGTAGAAAACACATGCCTAAAGAGACTCAAACACCAAGTAGAGAAATTGTTAGTAATTGTTATTAATCATAGTATAATTGCAGGTTCATTTGTTTGACATTAATGTTCCTGGGAAGATACAGTTCAAAGAGTCTGAAACACTGAGTCCAGGGAATAGTTTCTCCATGTTTGACACGCGTGAGTACAAGACAAGCCCTCTCTTTTATGGAGCTCAACTACAGTAACACTACAGTCACTCTGGAGTTCTCTTCCCCTTCCTCCCTCCCAGCAGTGGGTTTTTAGACTATCAGATTGAGCATTTGATAACCATGGCAAATATAGTTTAAGTTTGCTTCAAGTGTTTGGGTCACTCCTGACACTTTTAAAAAGGCAGTGCGGTTGCTAAAGGACAGAGGAGTAGAAATGATTGAAACATATGTCACTCCACTTGCCTTAATTAAAGAATGGTCCTGTTGATTTGTTAGAGAGATGTGACTGTATTTTTTATAGCAGTTACAGCTTGAAAATGGTTCTTATAAAACATGGCCTAGAAAAGAAAGTATGTAGCAGCCTACACTGGTACATTGCTTCACATGAGGATGATATAATAATGGAGACAATTAACTAAATCAGGAATCCCATTTCAAACTTCTTGCATCAACCACCTCAGATAAAATAAAGCAAAATGCCTACTCCTCCCCACCCCATATTGCTCAAAAACTGACAGTGTCTGTTTACTGAGCTCTCCACAGTCTTGTCTGCCACAGTCACTTTCTCCTCCTTGCAATGTGCACACTCTAAGAAAGTACATGATTGTATTTTTACTCAATGGAAAGCAGGGAGTGTTTTCTTTTATTGAAAAGAAATGAACTGAAAAAATTACAGCTAAATGAGAAAGGAACATGTTACACAAAGATCTGATACTACATGACTTTGTGGAAATGGCTGTTCTTAAAGGCTAGGTAAGACTGCTTCTCACAGTCTTTCTGTCATCATGAAGCATGAATTCTCCCCCACCAATAGCCAGTGCTTGTTGGACACACATTTAAATATAGCTCCTCCTGTTGCTGTGAGCCATGTAAAATAACAGTTGGCAGGATGTCCACAGGGAGTCTTGTGATTGTTTTGTGTACTCGTGCTAGTGATGTGATTGCTGTCTCTTGTGTTTTGAGAACAGCATACTGCAAAGTGGGCCTGGGCATCTGCTATGATATGAGGTTTGCTGAGATGGCTCAAATCTACGGCCAGAAAGGTGAGGCTGGGTCACCTAAGGGAACATGGGCAGCCCTAAGGCCAGGCCTAGGCAGGCTGGTTCTAGGTGGTATGTGCTGGGTGATCCCTGTGATCAGGCATTCTTATCACTGCCCAGTAACACAAAATGCATTCTGTGGCCAAGACTTTTACTCAGATAAGTGACTTCTCTCAGGGAGTAAAGTAACCATCACTTCCTGGTCCACATGTGGGGGTGGAGTGATGGAGTTGGGGATACCCCACAACAGCTCTTGGCTGATGTAACCTGTTACACATGGACAGGCTCTGTTTGGTTCCATTTTGGGCAGAGGCTGGGAAGTATGGAAAGAAACCTCACCCTAGGTGTCAGTGTGAAGGGCCACTCTAGGCTAAACCATCTTCTCCTTAATGATGCTTGGGTTCTAATTGTCTCTTAATAAAGGTTGCCAGCTGCTGATATATCCAGGGGCTTTTAACATGACAACAGGACCAGCTCATTGGGAACTCTTACAAAGGGGACGGTAAGAACACAGTAAGAGCTTATCTCCCTGTTCTAGGGGAGTTTTGGTGCATGGAACTGAACTTCCTTGTGTTCCAAATGACACCTGTGTGTCAGAAGTGGTGCTGCAGGGCCACTCTACCTTTGGAGCTGTACCATCCCTCAAGCCTTGCATGGGACCCCAAACTGATTTTACTGTCAGGGAGAAAAGCAGGAAATTCTTGGTCTTGACTCCTGCCAGCGCCTGTTACGCCCTTTCAACAGCCCTTTCCCATGGTTTTATGAGCACCCTTCACACAATAATTCTAGAGAGAAATGCCAGCAACCATTTTGGAAATGCTCTAATTACAGGTAGAAGTAGACTCAGAGATTCCTGAATGCAGTATTATTTATTCATTTGGTTAGCTTCAATCAATTTCGCTACACAATGAGTGAACCTGTGAATTACATGATATTCTTTGTACTAACTCTGGAGCCAGATGCTAGAGATTTCTCTTTCCAGGCTCTTCTTTCCCTGACCTTTGTACCATTCAGAGTTTTGGCTAGTCATTTAGAGGTTATATAGCTTCTCCTTCAGAGTGGATTCTTTCTCTTCTGCGTAATTAAATGGTATTATAAAAACAATTCTTATCACTTTTTCCTCCCTTCCTTCATTTTTCTGTGAACACAGAGCTGTTGATAATCAACTCTATGTAGCTGCTGTATCTCCTGCTAGAGATGAAAAAGCATCCTATGTTGCCTGGGGACACAGCACTGTAGTAAATCCTTGGTGAGTTCAATAAAATAAACACCACCTATTTTTGGTTAAAAAAATACTTTAGTTGCTGGTCACACTTCAGTCCTACTTTTTCATCTACTGTTAAAAGTGCAAACTCTTGGTAGAAAGCACATGAGACTTGAGCCTTCCTTTTCAAGATCATAATTTAAAACAGCCAAACTGAAAAAAACAAGAAGGAAACTAGAACTAGTCTGAGTATATATTCATTTTGGTAGTAAAGATGCTACTTAGTCCTAGGATTTAGCATTAGTTTAACTGCTGGCCTTGCCACTTTGTCCTGAAGTTCAGTCCATTATATGCTATGCATATGGTAATACTCGATGCAGAAGCAAACCAGCTTAAACAGCTTACACAGAACTATCTCATTTCCTCAAAGAACAACACTGACATAAGAAAGAACAAGAAGAATGTCTTCAGCTAGAGAAGAGAGATTCTGACTTGAGCAGAAGTCACACAGGTGCACAGGAGGTAAAAGTGACCAAATCTTTAGGCAGTTGTTTTTCTTTCAGATAAATCTACTGATAGCTTCCAGTTGTTTGCACAGTAAGAAAATCTTTGTCTATGTCTTGAGCTTTTATGTGCTGAAAGCAGTGACAGAACACATGATCATGTTCAGTAGTTCATGCAGAGTAAAAGTATACTGTTAAAAGCCAGTAGGATCCTCAAAGGAGAAAGTGTACATCTTGGCCAGTGTGGTTGTTCCTTTCTGCTGGAGGTGTGTTGCATGCTCACATGTGGTGGTTCTCAGAGTGGCTTTTATCACAGTTCTTGATCATTGAAAGACACTTATGTTGAGGATGTATATATCACATATAAAAAATGCCATGTATAAAGCCTGGAAGCCATTTCTGTCATGCCAGAGTTATGGATTAGGATGTTATTTTTAGGACAGCCCTGTCATTATAGCTGTAGGCATCAAGGCTAGGAACTCCTTTTCTGTACAAACAGCAGCAACTGGACTGATGCCTCAAGACCAGTGTGTTAATCCTGTGAACAAATGTGCTTAATTTTGCAGGGGTGAAGTCATAGCCAAAGCTGGGGCTGAGGAAACAGTTGTATACACAGATATAGGTAAGGGAAAAATTGTTTTGGCTTTTTCCTCACTTTTTTTCTTGAGTACACGTCATGACACTAAGGAGAGACAATTTTTCAAGTCTGTGGCCTTATATATGCAACTACAGATGATGCAGTATTCCTCTGCCTTGTCCACTTTTGCTGGGTTAAAGCAAGAACCAGCAGCACTTGGCTATACTGTTCTATGTACAATACTCTACAGCTGTACCCTTCTAGTTCACTTCCTTAGGGAAGAAGGTGCCACCTTAGGATAAAGCTGAGGCTTCCTTTAGCCCTGGCTGTTCACTCGCGCTGTGCTTTACCACCCCATTCTCCATCAAAGCTGCTATTTTCCCTCAGAGCAAGTCAGGAGCTTTCTTTTTTGGCTGCTGTTCTCTTAACTCTTTTCTTCTCCCCTGCAGATCTAAAGAAACTTGCAGAAATACGTCAACAAATTCCTATTTTAAACCAGAAGCGTTCCGATCTTTATGGTGTAGAGATGAAAAAGTGAAGCTGGGTGAAGAGGGAAAGTTCAGCTGTCACAATGGCTGTTGCCTTCATCTTTGGAAGGATTTCCTTAGTAGTTGTTCCACAATTTACTGCCAAATGTGCTGCTTAGGAAACCATCACATAACAAAAAACTTGGTGCAATTCTAATATGATTGAAATATAACTTTTCTATTTCCTCTCATACTTACGTATTTCATAGTACTTTGCAGCTGGGATAAAGATGGAGATGAAATCAGTTCAACACAGCAGTGATTAACATTGACTTTTATGCATCATAATGTCTTAGTTACCTTCTGAGGGCTGTTTTGTAGAACACAGAAATGGAATTCTTGTTCTCTGAAACTCCATCTCAAGTCAGCTTTGAATTTTGAATTTTTCAGTGAATTATCAGAAAATCTAGAAGCATGATTCTTCTCACTGTCCTTTTTAGATGTACATGACTTAACCTAGGTCCTTGAATGCCCTACTTCTAACTTGGGAAGCTTAAAATTTAACACACCGAGCAAAACAGGCCAAATTCTGCTCTTCACTACACAAGACACCACAAGAAGCTGCCAGACAGAGCTGCTCCTATAGAATCTGAAACAGTTTTCGGTTCATGTGTTTGTCTGGATCTGTGTATTAAATTCTTCTTATGGCAAATCTTGTTCATTGCTGAAGTGACATGGGTTACTGTGTAGCTAAAATAACTCAGACATTGCCACACCTTTGCTCTCCATACTGCTTCCTTAATAGAATGTCTGAGTGGGCTTTAATTCTGCTGCCTGGAAAAGGCTGAGGGGAGTCAGGTTGGAAAACCTGTTACACTAAGTCCTCCTGCCCACAGTCTCCCAGAAGACTGTTCAATGTTTGAATGCATTATTGCTATCATGGGCAGCTCCCATCCACTGCAGAGAAAACATTCCTTACTGTGCTGCTTTTGCTGGAGACAAACTGTGAACCATGGCTTTAAAATGCTGAGAACCAGCCAAGCATGTTGCACTTTTGGTTTTTTTTTTTATTTGAAGGAAGACATCTTTTAATGTAAAAAGCATTTACAAATTATGCTTTTTATTCCTTGGGATGAAAATAAGAAGCAACTTAACAGCCTTCACTGATAAGCTTTTCGTTTTCCAGCAGCATAAAACAACCCTAAGGCTAAAAGTGACTTCAAAATACAAAAATGGGAAGGAGAAAAGGTTTTATCTTGCTCTAGCTAACCACATTTTCCCCAACACCATCTTACCTTTTATTCATGTTCAGCAATCCTCCTCTTCCCACAGTTTTTTGGTTTGGTGGGTTTTTTTGGTTTTCATTTTGGCTTCTCTGCAATGAGCTAGGTGTGTGTTCTATAAACAAAAAAAACTCAGCCAAACCCTGACACATCCTTTCCCTCAATTCCACTTGGTGGCATTCTGTATCAGCAGGTGTTTATGGTCTACACTTTTCACTGCATTTTGGTGTACATACTGCACCAGAACTTTTAAGAAAGAAGCCACAGAGCACAAGGTGAAATGAAGGTTTATTTGTTGAAAAATAAATACTAAAAAATTAACAATTTACCACTTGAGCCGAGTCTCCTGCATTAGATTAGTGCTTCCCACATACTCAACAACCCATATCCATGATGGCCATTGCTGGGCTCCAATTTCTAAATCATAACGATTTCATCTCTTTCCCTCCCCTTTCTCTACTAGTTCAACACACAGGAGTAAATAAATATTACCTTTGGAGGATTAAAGTAGTGCAGGACTCTCATGGGCTGACCACTTAAATTTGAGAAATGCAAAGTGCAGTTTGTGGTCTGAACTCTCCTCCCATGGAATCCCAAATGGAGAGGATGGATGAAAATCTGTTACAAGCTGCTTTGGTGAACTCAGCTGAAGAGCTGACATGAGCTCAGCTCAGTTCTTTTCAGTCTATCAGGACAACTTCTAAGCACCTTGTTTTAGCAGGGTATGTAGTAGGGTCTCCAGTGTGCTGCATTCAGAAATGATACAGATGGGACTGTGCATTTGTGAGGCTTTCATTGAAAAAAAGTAGTGTCAGTTCTTAGCCATAGTACTTGAAGCAGCCAATACTCAACCTTTGTGGTGGTAGAAAACAGGCACTTTTAAGTATCCATACAACACATGTGCACCAGTATTCTCTAAGTACAGGAATCAGTAACAACCCTGAAACAGTTCCAGAATTTCAGCCTGCAAGAATTTAAATTATTTTTAAAGAAATGGCAGGAAATTGGGCAGTGTTAGGTAAGGTTAGGTTAGGTTAGGCTGTGCTGGTTAAAGCTGCATCTAAGCTTCTCTTGATAGTTGCGGAGTAAGTTACGGTACAGCTCTTCAGTGTATGTTAGATCCCTCTTCCTTTTCCAGCTGCAGTTAGATCCTAGTAATTCAAGTCACAGCTTAGAATCATGGAATATGCTGAGTTGGAAGGGGCCCATCAGGATGAAAGTCCAACTCCTGGCCCTGTGCAGGACATCCCAAGAACCACACCATGTGCCTGAAAGCATTGTCCTGTGAACAACAGGGACCATACATGATGAGAATTAACTTGCTAGACAATTGTACGTAGAAGCAACTTCACAGAGCATCCTTCTAGGATACACAGGCTTTATCCAAGTCTTCAGTACTAACTTCCTACATAATTTCAACTTTTTTATTTTTTTAAAATAGCAGTAATACTTGTCTTGTTTCAAAGTTCACATGTGCACCTGACTTAAAATAAAATCTCAGCTGTATCAGCCCTTTCATCGCAGGGATGCATCTGCATACACACATTAATAGGATCTCAGTTACTCAGATTCCCAGTCTTCCTTACTCGACTTCCTTTCCCCTGTAATCTTCAGCTCTCAAGACCATACCCCTGTGGGTGACAGAAGCAAGCAGAGATTGCATTTGTTGATTCCACGCCTCCTCCTCATTCTTTCTTAAAGGTTGAAGTGAGAGATGTTGACAAGGACTCAGTTAATTATTAGTTCTTCCTAGACTTAGAACAAGCACAGAGCTCACCACTGCAGAGAACACCTTCATCGAAACCTGTTCTTATACATTTCAGAGCGAGATACTTGAAGGTAGTATTTATTTTTTCAGTTTACAGGTGATATGTCATTTACAAAAAAATTACAGACAATGCATCCTTTCAGTGCAGTTTCAAACTAGTTGAAGAACAGGCAAAAAGTCTGTGATGATTTGGAATGCTAGTAATTGACAGCACATGCTTTTTTCCCTTAATTGATTGGGTGGGGTAAGGAATGGGGTACAGATGGGGTGATGAGGAGAAAATGCCAATGTAAGTAAGGCCATGCGAATAAAAACTCCTCAGAGAACAGGACTCGTCAGTCTGGCATATTTTTGTTCTCAGGTAATTGACGCAGAGATTGGAAGTAGGAGGAGACATTTGACTCTTGTTATGTTCAGTGCCCCTAGAAGCTGCCAGTACCTTCCCATAGCTTCAATTCTACACCAGTGCTATGATTTCAGGTCACCTAATGAGCTACTAAAATAATTAAATCTTTGTGTCTACTCTCCACCATTTGAATACTCAACTGTAGTTGCTGGGAGAAAGGAAGGTCTAGTTGAAAATGTAAGCTGCTGCTGTATGATGGCACAACTACAGACCAAGACAGTTTGACTATAGCATCATTCATTTCTTTAAAAGGTTAAATACATTAGACAATTCACCACGAACAAATCTATGATTTCAGGATGGAAAGAAGCCCAAACTAGTGTGTCATAAATTAAGCTACATCATTTGCACGAGGTTTGTCCAGCCACATCAGTCCAGGGAAAGGGAAGATGGATTGACTGACCTCCACACCAGAAAGATCAACGCAAAGCAAGAGGGCCCTCTGTGAAGTTCCTAACAAGAGGAAAGCTATTTAATAATTTGCCTATCTACTGTTTGCAGCACAATTGCTTCCTTCCTACAGTATTTGTAATCTTAGACAAGACAGGGTCTACAGAACAAGGAAATGAGTGCAGATTCCAAATCCATTATTGGAAGTTTGAGCCTATGCTTTGTTCCTTATCTCACTTAATCCTGCCAAGGGGCTCTTAAAAGGAGATCATAACCCAGCAGTCTCTAGCGACTGAAGAGAATGTAGGTAGTCTATCAGCTGCTACACATTTATGCAAAAGCTTCAGAGATTACAAAGACTATATGCAAGCATGACCTTACCTTTTGGAGCTTGACTCCCAGCAGCGCTTTCTGTTCTTGAAAGTCCCTCTGAACCCTCCAGAACAATTTCCCTTGACATTCAATTAAGGACTCCTGCACAGGAATACATTCTTTCTTCCAGTAAAGTCTACGGTGAAGCAGTGTTACCTGACCTCCTTCCCCAACCAACCTTTTTCCTAGCTCTCCTACGCAGTACTCTAGGGCTTTCTGGGGTGAGAGTAAGGACTATCAAATTAATTCCCTAATAGCTGCCACAGGACTATTTCTAAGGAAGTTATGCAGAGGGTGGAAGGGGATTTAAGGGAAGATTGTGCATGCTTGCATATATTTACAGGGATCCTCTTCACATCTACTGACTTAAAAAAACCCTCTATTATTAAAGTTCGAAAATTAATTTTTGCAAAATTAAAATCAACCCTCAAGGATTAATTGGATATAAAAAAGAAACCTATTTTACAGCACTGACTAGTATTACCTTTAAAATCAACAGGAAAAAACCCCACATGCTGTAATATTATTTGATAAAGCAAAAATCGCCCACAACATAATCACCCAAAATGAACCAGTGTGAAGTTTTTATTTGCATGGCCAAAATATGTTCCTTTGGTTCCCCTGCAACTTTATTTCCCTTAACACACTCTAAGGATTTTGCTGCAGAAGGAACACGATGCAGCACTGCATACTTCCTTGAACAACCACTCCCACAACACCTAAACATTTAACAGATGTAGCAAATGACAACACCACGAACGGGAAAAAACTAAGTTCCACCATTCAGCATGGTCTGCAACAGCGTCTTTAGGGCTGGCTGAAGTGGGCAACTTCACTTTGGAACGTCATTTCCTCCTTGTTTCTTTACAGTGTTGGTGGTTTCAATCCATACTTCTTTGCAACTTCTGTCTGGGCATAGGCAGCATCACAGAGTGAGTAGAGGTGGGCCATCTCCATTTCTGATTTGGCCAGGTTGATAGCTTTGTTGAACATTTCAATGGCTTTATCCAGATTACCTCTGAAATAAACAAAAATTTAGCCCAGTTAAGACTGCTAAAGTAATCGTGTAATCTCTAAAACATTGTTTTTCTTTCAGGACTTTCCACCATTAATAACTTAAGAGAACTTCACAAACCACCACAAGAACTTGTGGTGATGCTGAGTAAACTCAGAGCTGTTACCAAGCCTAAGCAATTAGGACAGCTGTTAAACAGCCTTTCTCTTGAGAGCTCCCATGGGTAGTGGTTCAGGATAAAATGTTCTCCAAGCCAAGTTCACTACAAAGATAATGCTGGGCAACTGAATGAAGTCTCATCTCCCCTGAAAGGACTTAGCGTACAAAAGAGGAAAACTTGCACAGACAGAAGCACATCATTTAAATAGGAAATGCTTGCAAAATTTAGTATGGCAATAGTTTAATTGTCTGACCTTTAGAGGACTAGACATATTAAAAAGAGACTCAACTGTACTGTCAGCTATGCCCCAAACCTCTGCACA